ACCAATCATATGAAATTACCTGATTGTGTTCTGATTTCTTTTATTTAATGCCAAGATCTCAAATACATTTAGTTTGATGATGATTGCGGTGTGGAACCATCACTGAGTCGGTCACGCGATATAAGCATGGTTTAACAAATAAGACTCCAGCTAGAATGTATTTAATTGCTTTGTCGATTCCCCTTTTAGGTTTCATTATCATCTCGAAATAAAAGTAATGGGCCAGTATTCAATACACATTTTAAGCATTAAATCTAGGAACGTTTTCATGTTGATGATGGTAACAGTGGTGATGATGATGATGATGGTGGTGGTGATGATGATAATATTGGTGATGATTATGATGATGATGGTGGAGGTGATGGTGGTGGTAATGATGACAATGGTGGTGATGACGATGGTGATTATGATAGGTAGACCCATGATGAACATGCGTTTTTAATAATTTATATTTGCTAAAATATGCTGAGACAACAGTCTGAAATAAACGGCCGTATTCTAGCATCATGCAATATATTATATTCAAAAGTATCGTTATCATATGTTTGCTTTAGCTCTTTGGGAAACAGAAGGGTGTGTCTCGAAATGATGATGATGATGATGATGATGATGATGTTGATGGTGTTGGTGGTGTTGGTGGTGGTGGTGGTGATGATGATGGTGATGATAATGGTACAATTATGATGATGATGATGGTGTTGGTGGTGGTGGTGGTGGTGGTGATGATGATGATAGTGATGGTGATGATGATGGTGATGATTGTGATGATGATGGTGGTGATGATGATGATGGTGATGATAGTGGTGCAATTATGATGATGATGATGATGGTGGTGGTGGTGGTGGTGTGGTGGTGGTGGTGATGATGGTCATAGTGGTACAATTATGATGATGATGGTGGTGTTGGTGGTGGTGGTGGTGGTGGTGATGATGATGACAATAGTGATGGTGATGATGATGGTGATGATTGTGATGATGATGATCGTGGGTTGGTGATGATGATGGTGATGATAGTGGTGGTGATGATGATGATGATGATTGTGATGATGGTAGTGGTGGTGATGATGGTGATGATAATGGTATAATTATGATGATGATGATGATGATGGTGGTGGTGGTGGTGGTGGTGGTGGTGGTGATGATGATGATATGTAGGCCTTTATGTTACGATTCCAAACCTTTTTACGCAACAGATTCAGATTGATGTCAATGCTTATAGAGCTGCTTCATAGACCTATGCACATGATGCATATAAATCGTCAAAGTCAAGTATAAGAAAAGATGTAAGATCAGGAGATTTTAGTTTTCCAATGGATAAAGAAAAGACAAACCTTAGCGACCTTTAGGTAAAACAGTAAATTACGGCCCAAGATTTAAGAATTCAAACTAATTTTGAAAAATCAAATTTGTTTTTTTTTACTTTCCTCTCAGGCGTTTCATTTGTTCCGCATTATATTATTATTCTTACTTCATTTGAATATGTTTTATTTGCTAAAATACCCGACATGTAGTAATTGATGAACATACTTTGGCCTCGACAACGAAAACGCCCTTTCTAAAGTTCAGAGAGTAACACCATGAACAAATACATATTGTTTAAATATATTTACTTAACAATATAAAGCCGTGTTGTAAATCATGCTGTTAACTTTTACATGGCTATATCCGTAGGGCAAAGTTGAATTCGAGGAGTTAATGATTAGACAATATCCTATAACTATATCTCGTATATTATCCGAAAGTAAATATAAACTAACCCCTAAAATTTGATGGGATTCCCTTCGGAGAGATAATTGTCATTTCAGACAGTTTAAACACGGCTCTCACGTACAGGGGTTCTAATAAAAACATTGCACTCATGATAACTATGGGCGGGTAGTGGCGTAGCTCTGTTACCGTAAAAGGGGGGGGGGGGGCGGGGCCACTGGTCTTTTTTACAATAGGTGGACAAATGCGGAGAGCTTATATAGGCGATAGTAAATCTCCTTATCCCCTTATCATTTCCTTTTCTTTTCCTTCGCACTTCTCCTCCGTTTCATCTCATCTTCTCTCTCTCTTCTCTCTCCTCTCTCTCTCTATCTCTCTCTTTCTCTCGTTCTCGTTCTCTCTCTCTCTCTCTCTCGCTCTCTCTTTCTCTCTCTCCTTTTTCTCCCTCTCTCCCAACGCATTCCATTTCTTTTCTTCATTTGATTCATCGGAGGGGAGGGTGGGAGCACGGGTAACCCCATGTGTGCCACCGGAGCACCAATGATTAGGTAGGCTAATGGTCACATGACGGAGCCTGCAATCATTTCATTCGTTTTTGTATTGATTTTTATTTCATGACAATTGTAACCATCAATTGTTAAATGCTAAGTTGATCATATTTCAATTTTCAATTGAGAAGAGGAAGACAACTGCAAACATCAGCCCAATTCCCAGTTCTAAATGATACAACTCTAAGACGTACGTGTATTTGAAACTTAAACATCTAAGGGCCACGGATTCTGTGGCATTTCCGATGTCACGAGGTTGTAAAAAATGATACCGTGAAGAAACACAGTTAATAGGGTATTTACACTTGTCTAGGAGAATTATTATTAGTCAATATTTGTCAAGGCTATATCTATCGTTGATATGGTAGGACTATAAACTTTATCAAGATAAGAATCTCTTGCAATAACGGGAAAAACCATGAGGCTAATAAAATCTAAGAAACACACGTAACACATGTAACCTTTATACATGTATGTGACACTCAGTCAGTCGGTAGAGCAGTGGTCTCGTATCCGGTGACCCGGGTTCGTAACCAAGTCGATGCGCTATAGTGCCCTTTGGTAAGGATTTAATCCTAATTGCCAGGTCCCTCGGAGAGAACCTAAAGCCGCCGCGCCGTGTGGTTGCTTACTAACAATCATTTATGCTTTCTTAGCAGTCAAGTAAATACCACCACTTACACTGACACTCTTTTCTCCTACATACTCATATAACACCGTCATGTAACCCCCCCCCCCCCCCCGCTCCTTCCCGGCTGCTATCGACTCAAGCATTCATGCTATTGATAGTTGGCCGCTTCATTTATTTCACCTATATTTATGCATTTAGTTTGTGTGTATTTCAGTTGTCACGTTACTTATTAATATTCCAGCTCAGATTTTCAGAAAATCTCTATATTGAGCAAAAAATAATAACCATCCATTTTTCACAGATCTCATGCTTGCTAAGCTCCACCCCTCGAAACAAAAAAAAGAGGTAAATACGGTCACATAAAAAACACGAGTTAAAGTGACTCGGAACATTGTTGAAGGTTGATGAAAAAAATTGCTTAATTTTGTATAAAATGTACTTACTATATCCTTCCACTATACTAACCCTCTGACATGCAAAAAATCCTGAACAAATTCTCAAACCACAAAGATATCTATGGTTTTCTTTGAAGGCGTCGATGTGAGGCACCCTCTAACAGTGATTAACATAAATTCTCCCAACCATTTTTGAATTTTCCCAACCGTTTTTCCATGAGAAAAATACATAAAACAGGCTATAAAAATCTGTCAACACTTAACTGTCTGGAATGGAATGTAGAGCCACTTATTGCTTTGTGACGATTTACATTCACATAAAATGAATTAAATTGTCTTGTCTTGATGCTGAACAGGCTTTGACAAGTAGCAGAATAGAAGTAGAATAATATAGTTGGGAGAATTTAGGAATCGATCAGATCAGTTTTTCCAATTTGTACCATGAATAATGATCTGTTTTCACTCAATTTTCAGATTATCTTTAATTGTACATCTAGCATTGAAGTCACTGCCTTAGCACCTCTATCTCTCATCTGAACAATGTTACTAAGTCCCTTTAATGTATGCATCGCGATTTTGGAGCGGTTATATTATACGGTTAGGGTTGGGTTTATGGTAAAGAAGACCTATATAGGGATGAAGACGTTTTATTGCTAGAAGATTTAAACCACGGAGCTACCTTCAACGGAACACGTGCTGCCCATCCGAAGTAATGTCCAAGGATAAATCTACATGATATTGCTACCACGTAATTTTGAATATCCGGGGTTTGTTTCCATTATATTTTGTTGTTTGCTGACAAAGACACATTGTGCAAAGAATCCCCATTACATTACACTGTGTGTTGTAAAATGGCACCTGTTTCCACCTAAATCAACATACTATGAAACGTTGTATTCGCTGTTTTATTTTACTCCGTTTTCGTTCACGGCATGGCATTTAATTTACAGGGGTTGGATAAAGAATGTTGTGAATATGCTATGATTCTCGTGAAGCCATCGAAAATACAAGTTAGCCAAAATCTCACTGAAAACGCATGTTTTACAAGTAATACGGTTAACCCCCCCCCCCCCGAAAAAGAAAAAAATCAACAACCAAAAAATCAAAATTCAAATCAAAATCAAAATCAAAATCAAAATCAAAATCAAAATCAAAATCATTTTTTTTAATCGTTATATTTAGATCACAACAAGTGTTACTTGGTTTAACAGTGGTATCTATTATGCAGGCATTATTTAAATCAGAGGTAGAGCATGTCTCTAAAGATAGAGACAAGCCCATCACTAACTCTAACCTTTACCTCATGCACACTGTAATATGCAAAACGAGGTATGTAAATTATTTACTTATTTTTAGGAACATTCCTCTACTATACGGATTATAAATAATGCCTTCTTGCCTATCATGAAAATAGCGAGCATCCCCCTCAAAGAATGCTACTAGCACTTACAAATATTGTGTATATAAAAACAACTTAAAAGAAACTGAATTCGAAGAGCAAAGACGGTGAAAACAGTAATGGGGAAAGACAAATCTATGTAAATAGCAGGGAAAATGGAAGAAAGAGAGAGAGAGAGAGAGAGAGAGAGAGAGAGAGAGAGCCCTTGAAAAACCCGCTTCGTGTAATTTTGTAGCCATTCGTTTTTGTTTTCCATCCTAATTTTTGAAATATTTCTTCCTCACAGATTGACATAAAGAGACGTACTGACCCAGAGAGAGGATGGCGCGGACGAGTCGGACCGTCCCTCGGATAGGAAGGATTGGATCAGTTGTCCCATCCGCTCTGATCTTCTGGATAATGGTGATCATCTTAGGCGAATGTCAGCCTGGTGTCCATGGTAAGATTTCATTTTATAAAGGTTTCGTAGTCGAATATTTCAAACACTTGACACTCGAAGGCCGTGGGTTCGAATCCCGGCACGGCACTGGTGTCCTTGGTCTACATTTGCCATACTCCACCCAGGTGCAAAATGGGAAATGATGGGAGGGAATAGACCATTTTTGTAATGTAATCAAATTCAATGCAATAATCTTTGTTAAGTGCCATGTTACAAATTATTTCATTCAGCTGGGCCCCGTCTTACAAAGAGTGATCTTAATCGCAACTTATTTGCGATTGATATCAATCGCAACTATGTTAAAAAAAGAAAGGAGATTGCAAGCTTGCGATTGATTTAGATCAATCGTAACTCTGGGTAAGACAGGGCCCCGATCCAACATTATGGCTTGTCCTACCTTTCAACACGTAATATATGCAATATAGTTTTGTAACATGGCACTTACAAAAGCGTTCTATGATAATTACCCCTTGACAATCACCCCGGCCAATTGCCAGCGGGACCGATCCCCCCCTCCCCCAAGAACAACTAAACCCCGGAAAAAAATTACCCTAAAACACAGAGGACGATAATCCCCGATAAATTAGCCCATAGGATAATTACCCCCCCCCCCCCCATCCCCGCTAGAGGACAATTAACCCCTAACCCCTATAAATGACCCCCTGTTCAATAAAGTGGAATTCCACCCGGATGATAAGTTGGTTTGAGAAAAGCAGAACAGATAGAGAAAATGTTAGTTTAAGTTTGAGCAAAATCCGATTAGAAATAGGAAAGTTATGAATATTTGAATTAGCGATCAATCAAACACAAAATAACAACACTATGGGTATGTTTATGCTCAACTTTTTCTGGCAAGAATCAGGCATCTGTAACGCGGTTAGTTCAAAACACGGTTGCTTCCTTTCTCATTTTTGTAGAATCACCGAAAAACGGCGATCACGATCGCCGATCGTAAACTCACAAAAAGGTGCGTTTACGATCGGCGATGCTGCAAAATCGGCGTTTTCTAGGAAGCATAAACGCACAATCATTATTTTGTAAACGCGTTTAAATGGGGTCAACGCACTGACCTCTATCGTGGGTCTACGTAGCATGCGCAGTGCAGGTTTGCGAATCCAGCTGCAAGGCCAGTGGCGGATCCAGGGGGGGGGGGGGCCGGGAGGCCCGGGCCCCCCCCCCCCCCCCCCCTTGAGAAAAAAATCATGTAAAATCACGTGATTTTTACCTTTTTGGGGGGTTGGGCCCACCCCCCCCCCCCCCCCCCCTGGCGCTCAAGGGGGGGGGGGTGCAAATCGAATTTTTTTGAGGATAAAAAAAAAAAAAATGTGCTCACTACCCCCCCCCCCCCCCCCCCCCCCCCCCCCCCCCCCCCCCCCCCCACTGAGCGACTTTTCGGGAGCAAAAAAAAAAAAGTTGGGCCCCCTCCCCTAAGAAATCCTGGATCCGCGCCTGTGCAAGGCCACCCAGCCAGATGAGCATAAACAGTACACCGTGCAACTGCGATTACGATGAGCGTTTCAGATCGCTCATTCTACCTTCAAAATCAAGCATAAACGCACCCTATGGCGTATCTTGCGAGCTCTTCTCCAAGTTGTTCTGAACAGAAAATTACATAAACTTTCATCGCCTCAGTACAGCTATTTATGACGGAATAGGTTTGCTTCACACAGAGGTTGTATAAAAAAAAATTGCAATAATTATACCACAAAAATGTTTTATACCAGGCATTTTTACTGTTCCCCCTACCCCCACCCCCTGAAACGTGGTCATGGTGATTCGTATGAACCGTAGTATATTGCCAAGCTGTTTTACATAATTAGGAGAAAAGCGCAAGAAAACGACCAGTTATGTGTTAAAAGATAAAGGGCAAAAGAACGCGACGGGAGAAAAAACCCAGATAACAGATGAGGAGGGTAAAACACAAAGATTTAATTTGTTTTAAAAGATTGTAAAAAATTACGATTTTAAATTGTCCCTTAAATGAATCGAGTGATAGGGCAAGTTTGATATAATTACGTCGAGAGTTCCAAATTTTGGAATTATCCTGTGGTGGTTGTCCTTCGGGGTAATTGTCATCGGGGGCGGTCGTCCTTTGGGGTAATTTTCCGAGAGGGGAGGGGGTAATTTTCCGGAGGTAATTGGCCAGGAAATAATTGTCCTAATAATACCGTACAAAGATTCATGCATTAAATTTGATTACACTTCGAAAATGGTCTATTCTACATCAGGAATTTGACCCAGGAAGACCAATCGCTTTGGCCGGCGGTATTCTCCCGCGAAATCTCCTCGATCTGCCACTGCAATAACGATACTAATTATGATGTGTATAATCTGATTCTTTTACAGGAATTTGCTCGATAGACTGTCAGAGAAACACCAATTATTGCAAGGAGTGTGTAAGGGATCCTGAACAATGCGCTACAGTACCATACTATGAGACAACTGAACTAGGTGAGTATTGATCGTGCAAAATCATGATAAGAAATAGAAATTAAGTTTATATTATACTAAAATGGATATATCATTATATACACCACGAATAATGCAAATATTTACTTCCTAAATCGTAAAGAAGCATTGCCCCTCTTTCTTCTACTGCAAAAAGATGGTCCAAAAATGGTATCAAAATTATCAGATATACTATTTTACTGAACCGTGTGACATACATCTATACTTTATAAACATTCTAATTGTTAAACAATGAGCAATTAAAAAGTGTTGCATTTCAATAGATCTCTTTCATTGAATGCATAACTTTTCATATGTTGAGAACAACATTTTATGCAAAGTGAATTCCATCCATGGAGATGTCATTATGTAATGCATGTGATAAAACGGCTGGTAACCAGGGGTTAGGTTAATAGCCCCCCCCCCCCCCCCCACACTCTGGGGTTCCCAAAATCTCGGTAAAGGGGTACTTTTTCCGCCCGACAAAATCCGGTCCCTATTGACTTTAACACCGGAGATAGGTGTGCTTTCAAAGGGAGGGAACGACCATACACGTACCCTAAATAACACTGAGTTTGGGGGGGGGGGGCGCTGGGGTTAATATAAAATTTAACATAACATGTCTGTTGCAAAACAACTTGGTCCGAGGTGATATCTCTCTCTCCCTCTCGCTCTTTAATCCCTTCTTCTTCTCAGGGGCAATTCTTTTCAATGTGACAGTAGACACTGACCAACCGGTACCTACAGATATCACGATTAGAATATCTGGGGACGTGGAATCCATGGCCATGTTCCGCGTTGAAGGTCTTCAGGTTATCCTCAATAAAACATTCGACTATGAGGTATGTACACGTTATAATATATGTCCCTTGCAGCAGTAGTAGTAGTAGTATAGTAGTAGCAGAAGTAGTATACATAGTTGTAGTTGTAGTAGTAGTAGTAATAGTGGTAGAACTAGTAAAAAATAATAATAGTAATAGCAGCAGCATCAGTAGTAGAAGTAGAAGTATAAGTAGTAGTAGTAGTAGTAGTAGTAGTAGTGGAAATAGGAATATAAGTAATAATAGTAGTTCATGTAGTAATATTAGTACGAGAATTAGTAGTAGTAGTAGTTATAGTATTAGTAGGATAAGTAGTAATAGTATTAGGAGGAATAGTAATAATAGTACATGTAATAGAAGCAGAAGTAAAAGTAGTAATAGTAGTAATAGCAGTAGTAGAAGAAGTAATAATAATGGTAGTAGTAAAAATAGTAGTAGTAGTAGTAGTAGTAGTAGTAATATAAGTAATAATAGTAGTGATAGCAGTAGTAGTAGTAGTAGTAGTAGTAGCAGAAGTAGTAGTAGTAGTATTAGTAGGAAAGTATTAATAGTAGTAGTAGTTCATATAGTAGAAGCAGTAGTAGAAGTAGTAATAGTATTAGGAGTAGTAGGAGGAGGAGTAGTAGTAGTAGTAGTAGTAGTAGTAGTAGTAGTGGTAGTTGTAATAATAGTAGTAGTAGTAGTAGTAGTTTGTTTGATCTTATGTTTGATCCTATGTTTGATCCTATGTTTGACCTTATGTGTTTGATCTCACTCTGATTTTTATTTATATTATCATATATGCATGGTTGATTGAATAAAGAACAGATGTATAAGTTGTGTGTTTATTATAAGTTTTGGTATTTTTTTTTTTATAGTCAGACTATGTTGCACTTCGAGACACCTATATTAAGCGCCTAATAAATATTGTGTATTGTTATTATTAGTAGTAGTAGTAGACAGGCGCGGATCCAGGATTTCTTAGGGGAGGGGGCCCAACTTTTTTTTTTTTTTGCTCCCGAAAATTTAAAAAATCGCGCCGGCCGAAAAGTCGCTCAATGGGGGGGGGGGGGGGGGGGGGGGGGGGGGGGGGGGGGGGTAGTGAGCACATTTTTTTTTTTTTGATCCTCAAAAAAAAATTCAAAAAAAGTCGCTCAATGGGGGGGGGGGGGGGGGGGTAGTGAGCACTTTTTTTTTTTTTTTGATCCTCAAAAAAAAAATCTCAATCAAATCTGCACCCCCCCCCCCCTTGAGCGCCAGGGGGGGGGGGGCCCAACCCCCAAAAAAAGGTAAAAATCACGTGATTTTACATGATTTTTTTCTCAAGGGGGGGGGGGCGGGCCCCCCGGCCCCCCCCCCCCCCCCTGGATCCGCCACTGGTAGTAGAAGTAGTAGTAGTAGTAGTAGTATTAGTAGGAGTAATAGTAGTAATAGCAGCAGCAGTAGCAGCAATAGTAGTAGTAGTAGTAGTAGTAGAAAGAGTAATATAAGTAATAATAGTAGTCCATGTAGTAATAGTAGTAGGAGAAGTAGCAATAGTATTAGGAGGAATAGTAATAACAGTACATGACTTGTAATAGAAGCAGAAATAAAAGTAGTAATAGTAGTATTAGAAGAAGTAATAACAATGGCAGTAGTAAAAATAGTAGTAGTAGTAGTATTAGTAGTAGTAGTGGTAGTGGTAGTAATAGTAGTAGGAAAGTAGAAATAGTAGTAGTAGTAGTATAGTAATAGTAGTAGTAGTAATGGTAGTAGTGTAGTAATAGTATAGAGATATCGACTGCTTTGAGAGACCTGGCTGTTTTATATGCTCAAGGGAATGCGCGCACCTCCTGCTATGACCCTAAGGCGCGCCTGGGTGGGCGGCGCGCCGAGGGGTCATGCATGATGGCAGGGCGTGCTAGTTCCCGAGAGCATAAAAAGCAGCCAGACCTCGAATATTAAAGCAATCGATGTGTCTTTTATATGCCAAAATGAAACAAAAATCTATCAAGAATTCTTACCTTATGCTTTTATTGAGTAAGATTGGTTAAAACATCACGGAAACTCTGAGACACTGTCTGTAATCTTTGCTTAAAAATGACTGAAAGTTTCAATCAATTGGGAATTTCAGACAAAAAGCACTGTATGGTGTACGCGCCCGCACAAAGAACATTTACACACGTAAACCAATGGGTATCGCAGCAAATTTTACTATTTCATGGTAACCGGAATTTTGAGGGATCTCACTCTTGGATTATTAACCGGTATTGGCATTTTTGTTTCTTAACGGGAATGGCTAAAATCACGACTCCAATTTCGTTAGTGAGGTTTATAATAGAATATATTGACTTGTTGAGCACCAGGTGAATCGTCCACTTAAGGTCCATTAGTTTTGCAACCCGCGAATGATTTTATGTGACCCGCCGCCAAAATATTAAGTAAAACTTTTGTTAGAGCCAATTGTTTAGTTCCCTCTCTATACAATGTAAGTATGTTCATGCTCCAACTTTGTTTTCTTTTAAGGTGTACCTCGCAAACCATTTCTATTGTAGAACACACTTTCATTTACACCCAAAAATTTATTTTACCGATATTAAATATTTTGTATATACATTGGGCTTGCGGTTGCACCATGTGAGAGAGGGGAGTATTGGGGAGTCCGGAATAGGACTGTCGGTAATCTTTCTTTCTTGCGTGTGTGTAGTCCTGAAAAGGACTGTTGGTAGTCTTGAAAAAGACTGTTGGTAAACTTTCTTTGCTTAATAGTTCTATAATAAGGAAAAAACTAAAGCGCCGGTTGGAGAGGGTGGGTAGTACTAGGAGGGGCTCGACGTTTCGAACAGATTGACTGTATTACTTTATTGTTTTATGCAACTTTGTACTTTCTGTGCCACCAGATTTATAAATAATTATATATATATATATATATATATTTATATATATATATATATTATATATATCTACATATGTATACATTTAAATATCTAGTATGTTAATTAGCCATGGTTTGTGAAATAAAGACGAAGTTAAATGAAATTACGAAATAAAATGTCAAAACCGGGTTAATAATTGTGGAGCACATGGAGTGTCAAGTCTGACAGACATGAGCGCTATACAAGAACACACTATTTTTAAGTGATGTTATTTGGTCTGGCTTTAAAGGTACTATGTCCCATTTGCAGGCCAAAAAAAATGAAAAAGTTAAATTCCAACTGCATTTGAAAGATAATACTAATTTAGAACTTCCCTAAAAAAGGTGGGGCTTGAAAATGTCTTCAAGTGGGAAAATAACTACTATTAGTTGTCAAATCGACTTTAGGGCTATAGAGCCCAAAAGTAATAGTCTTGATTTTCAGACAATTGTACCGAATGGTCATACGTTTTATGCTGCGCAAAGATTCAATCAGTTTAATCTTGGTCATCACAAGAAGTGGGTTATTGATGTAGACAAATGCTCATGTACCCTTTACAACTCTTTTCATGTATGTTATTACCAAAGAAGAAAAAAAAGCCAGTCAGTCACTCAATAGTGTCTGACAGTGAAGTCTAGCAAGTAAACGGGTTTCCTTGCATAATTTGAATACTAGGCCACTGCTAACGTTTAGATTTCACAGATAGGACATACATGACATATTCATAATTCCTGCAAAGTTCTACAGAATTTGAGGTTGGCTGCAAAAGGGACATAGTACCTTTAAAGTAGATATTCATTGATTTTAAAAACTAACTTTATTTTCATCATTGCAAAGTTGAAACTTTGATTCGGCAAGGTTATCAAAATTCAATGCTTGGAACCATTCGAAGTAATGATTATTATAAATTACAATACGCTTAAATACAGCCCCGGCATAGCACCTGCAGGGCTCTCCGAACGCTGCTGAGATGTGTGAGATCACAGTATGGACATGACTTGCACAAGCAGACGATGTCCCATGACATCTCACACATTTTCAGTGCCTGTGTTTTCATCTTCTCTTGAGTTCTTTCTCTTACTTCACTACCGTCAGGCTAAATGTATAATATATCGCCTCACTCTAAACCCCGCCCATGGTTTTATTTTGATGACAAATGCAGCGATACAAAAATAAAGGAATCTGTCGCTTGTAAACAAAATAAGACGCCATTGTATATTCAGCTGCACACACCGGGTATGTTCGGCGTTTCAAGAGGGAACAAATGCCGTCCTTAATATCATTCCGGGGGGCAATTTCACCTTTAAATGCTCTCACACGTACCTCGCGACTAATTATATACATTGGCAAAGCATTTTGATCCTTTTTAACTGCAACATCCTTTAACTTGTGTAGATGGTGGAGGACTACAGATTTGACATTGATTGTAACGACGGGACCGGATGGAGCACAACACCTGAATCAAGTGGGGAAAAAGGGGTAAGATGAGCCAGTTTTTACATTTATGCTCCGTACTACCAATATATAGTTATTACAGTTATGGGTTAAATACAGTAATGTAATACAACTATCATCTCTCTTTTCCTCTATTCACCTGTGAAGCAATCATGATATATGTGTCTGGTGGACCGCCAACAAAAAAGTCATTTGGATCCATTTATCCCAGTCATGGGGTATGTTGATCTGTGGCATATTTGTGGCATTTTGGCATCTGAAATGAAATCACATTTACATTTATTAATTAATTAATTAATTAATTTATAATCTTTTGTCAGGTTGACCCATACACAAATAAGTACATCAAGGCATTTTTTGCCGTCATTCATCATTTCTTCCTTTTTAACTTAAATGTTTTCAAAAGTACACAATGATTGACATAGGGGTAAGATGGGGCAAGCCAGGGCTCAGCTTGCCCCAACGGAAAGTCCCATCTTACCCCTCACACGCCATTTTGAAAACTTGACACAGCATTGTATTCTACTGTTCAATAAGGCTTAAAGGTTTGTACACAAAAATCCTCTTTAATCTATAGCATCCATTCGCGACATGCAATTTGGTAGAACCCTATCGGGAAGGTATAATCGCTCTATATCTACAATAATAAGAAAATGTCAAAAACGTTGTAAACCCCCAACATAACGACACATTTCTCCCCATTCTACCCCCATATTACAGCGATGTAAATTAATGTCCTTAATGTCCTGAGGGCGCAAACCAGTTTTCACTTCGTACAGTTTCCTAGTAACAAGGGGTGGCTCAACTAATTATTATTGTTATTATTATTATTATTATTATTATTATTATTATTAATGCTATTAGTTTCGTTATTATTTTTAGTTATCAATATTATTATTATTATTATTATCATTGTTATTATAAGTGGTAGGAATATTACTAATAGTAGAAGTAGTAGCAGTAGTATTAGTAGTAGTGGTGGTGGTGGTGGTGATGTTTTTTATTATTTTGTTGCTGATATTACTATTACTATTTCAAATATTATCAATGGTGTTTTATCAAAAATGGCAGCATTGAAAACAGTATCATCAACATCATCATCGTCATTATCATCCATTTTTATTATCTTCATTCAATATTGTTCAGTACAAAATTAAGCCAATCGTCACATATACATTAAAGTGATATATTTCTCAAAAAGTCTAATCCTCACTATAATGTCAAAATTACGATGTTTCTACACGTCACTTTTTCTCTGTTTTTCCCCCAACCAGTCGCTGTCCCATATACTGGCGGTGGGAGACACGAATGAATTTTCGCCTGACTTCAATGTATCCATCATTCATGCCAACATAGTAGAGGCAAGTATGCCATAAGATAATCGAATATATACCCTGAACTGAGAGGCTCTGGTTGAAATTATGGATGCTCTGAAATGACTGGCGTAGCACTATATTTTATGCTAATCACAATAGATCAAAAATATTACCGGTGCCTCGATAAGAGTGCAGGGTATATTTGATTTATAATCGAGATTGACTGTCGTAGAGGATGGGTATTTACATTTAAATGAATCACGGTGTCTATGAAGAATATAATCGCAGAGTATCTCATTTAATATGCATATATTTTGTTCTTCTTAAATGGTAGTATTCGGCATTAAGGCGATATATTTTAGGTCATTAGATCTTAAAGGTATAAACCAGTTTTGGAAACGTCCCCCTCTCAAAAAAAATGAAATGGAAGCCCTTATTACCAATCATGTGAAAGAATATGTTTTGACTAAAATTAAATACGTGATGATACAAATTTTGCCGGGAAACCGCCTACTAATTGATATATTTGGGAAATTATTATATGTATCCGGACCGGATAGATATCGCTCACGTATCGCGTAGTCCCATATACATCTTTCTGTGTACAGTGCTTGTAACTTTACCAAGACTGGGCCAAATTTCTTATCTTTTTGATGATTCCAGAACCTTGCAGTACACACCAATACTTACATGCTAGATGATCAACCTTTTCTGATCGATTCCACGATGCTTTTTTCACAATGCAATCGCATAACCATAACTGGTCTTTACCTTTGGGGTGAAAGCCTTTAGAACATTATGCCTTTGAGTAAAGGCGAAGGCCCATGTATGAAACGGTATATCATTGAATAAAATGCATAAAATGTGTTGCTCAGTCTGCAAACCACATTATCTTGAATATCCCAATGCCAATCTACTGACGTATGACTGCTAATGCAACTGGTGCGATGTTTTTCGCACGTAAGAGTGACAACATGAATGCAAAATTTTCTTCAAAGTCTTAGTATAGTAGTAGTAGTAATAGTATTTATTTCCGTATAAAAACATAATAACAATGCATGAGATACGGGGGATTGCCCACACTCAGCTTACCCGACATGGGAAAGCTGGTCTTCAGTGCGGTCCGGAACAACTTCGTAAACAAAACAAAATATAAATACATATCTGAATAACGGTAAATAAATTGTCAAAACAAGAAGAAGAAAAAGAAGAAGAAAGAAAAAAAAAACACATTTCAGAAAAACGAGTAATCATAACAAGATAAGGAGGGGACCATGTGCTACCGTTCTGCCATCTTAGATGTGAATGTATTAACACTAGGGGACGATTTGATATGAGGAGGGTGTGTGTGTTGTAGGCCTTTCCCCTTTGCGTTTCTATACTTGAATGATCTTTTGAGGTAATTTGTTCTCGGTTTGGGTAATTTTATTTCTGCTCCAATTCGGGAAGGGTAGGAATGGGTTATCAACTCAAATTCATTTCTTAAAGGGATAGTTGAGTTCTGTTGCAGAGGGCGCTACACACAAAATATTTTTTGTGAGATAATGAAAAACTGAGTGTCAAATTTGAAAGAACATACAATTTTGTATTTGTATTTGTATTAACATTTATTTCCTTCTCAGCAGCACAATATAAAACACAATGCATATATACATGATATATGTAACAATTATTTCAACATAGAGTATACAGTAATTAATTCAGATACGGAAGGAGGCGAAAACCCGGCCGAAAGCGTAGCTTGAGTTGAGAACGCCCATAAATAACAAAATCATCTTTGTTTGATCAAAATCGGTTAAGAGACGGCTGAAATATCCATAAATATAACAATTTCTAATACTTGTGTACCACCACAAATAATAGATAATTTGAAGAAAAAAGCCGTTGAAAAAACGAAATAGCGCCTGTTACGTCGTATTTCAACCAATGCCGATGTTAGCTTTTTTGTGGCATTTTCGTGCTGGTTATATTACGCACAACCAGCCGGCCCATGTATTGTTGTTTTGTATTAAATATTTAATTAACGGTCACCGTATTTTTTTTTTAAGTGGAGCGGAATTAGTATGATCGTATTGGCTAAATTTCACACAATTTTGGATCTAAAATTACCTTCATAGCAATTTTAGGTTCTAAAAAGGCACTTGAAATGTCATAGATAAGAATAAGAGCAATAACCATGCACTTTGAAGGCATTTGCGGTCTGAAAACAGAACTCAACTATCCCTTTAAATACTCAGAGGTTAGATTATTCATAATTTTATACATAAGGACAAGGGAATGATGATTTCTCCTTCTTTTCCAAGAGTTGCTAATTAAGAGCTTTATGCATTTCCAAAACAGAGACATTAGATTCAGGTTTATTTTAAGTATAAATACGCCTGCCCTGTTTGTAATTTTGGGAGCGGCGATCTGTATATTTTCTGAAAGCTGCACTGTAAATAACATCACCATAATCGAAATACGGAAGGATCAGTGAGCTATACAGTGCGTCCCAGAAACCGAAAATTATCCATGTTTATCCTAACCTAATCACAATTATAATTAATAAATGACACATATTTGTAACGCTAGATCCTCCTCTTTCATTTGATGTAACTTATGTGATGCATATTTCACGTGTGAGTGATCAAAAATAATTTGAAGAGAGAAAACCAAAACGTCATTTGGCGGGCGGTATCTGAATTTCAAAGGGAAAATCACATTTCTAGAAATTTCAATTAGGAAAAATGACCAAGGAATAACAAATTTCTGTTTGTTTAAAGTAAAGCTTGCATTTCCATGATTTGATCAAACGAGTTCGTTTTAATTGGCTGCCTGTCGTAGCAACAGAGTTGACAAACGACTTAACCCCGTTTCGTTGACGATCAGCCATGCATCAAGTCTTTCGTTAACTTTATAGAACATGTAAAATAGGTTCATCAACCAATGTTCACTCTTCTATCTCCTCTCTCTCTCTCTCTCTCTCTCTCTCTCTCTCTCTCTTTATTCTACCTCACCCGCTCTCCCTCTCCCACTTCGGTTATTTTTATTTACAGAACGCTGAGACGGGTATTGTACTGATCACAGATGTCCCAATCCAAGCTTTTGATGATGACGCAAAAGATTACGGATTTGAGTACTTTATACTGGAGGTGCGTATTATTATTATTATTATTATTATTATTATCGTTATTATTATTATTATAATCATTATTATTATAATTATTATTATTATCATTTATTCGGCAAAACAAAGTATAAGATGATCCAAGCTTTTTCCTTCTAACTATTAGTATTTTGCTCTCCCTCTCTCTCTCTCTCTCTCTGATTCTAATCTATGTTACAATAGCAATGATAATAATAATAATCATGCTCATAATCAAAATTATTATAACCACAGTAATAATAATAACAGTAACTGTTTCTTATTAAGTGCCTTGCCGGTTTCAACGTATATTACCAAAACGTCTTACAGTTTTATTTTCCCGGTCACTAGATTTAATTACGATTCTGCCCATTACAGTACATATTCTCCCCTGCCTGGGGAGCATTACAGCTCGTTGCCTTTTTACGAACGCGCACAGATTTTTAGCCATTATATAATATATATATATATATACATGTATATTACTAACTCGTTTTATATGAAATATTCTTAAACTTCCTAACTTCTGTATTTCATGTTGTATATCATCCTTTTTGTGTTTGTTTGCTTTTTTGTTTCTCGACTTTGTTTTAATGTATCTTGTTATATATAAGGATATGTACCTTTGTTAAGGTCCCCATCGATCTTTTTGAGATATTTGAAATGAATAAATAAATGAATATAAAACAAAGCAATGTTATCACATTGACTTCGCATCATATCGGGTACCCTTTAATATTGGGTGGGAAGGAGCAAAGTAGATAGATTTTCCTGGTCAAAGACATAAATACCATGCCGGGGTTTGAAAGCATGAAAGCATCAAATTCCAAGTATAGTGAACAAACCACTCAACTGCGATACATCTGCAATGAACATGGACAAAAAAGATCTACGGTCACGAGATATTTCAGCACCGAATAATTATTTGAATTTATTTCTGTACATTTTCGTGTTCAATCAGGATGTGCCCTTTAATGTAACCGGCCCTACCCCAGACGGGTGCCAACTTGGTGAAGTATTTCTACGTTTAAATGGCACCGTTGACTTTGAAGACCAGGAGTTCTACAATTTCACACTCATAGCAGAGGTGAGTTAAAACAATTATTTCCAAAGGAGCACATACCTTGAGTTGATTTCTTGAAAGTCTTTGCAATGGTATTAGAGTAAAATCATTTATGTAATTCCAAAGTGGACGATATTCAATTCAATTCAATTCAATTCAATTTTGGTTTATTTATATCAACATATACAATGTACAATGCAGTAGTCCAGGGACCAATAATGCAATGTTTACATAAAATGTTCATAAAAACAGGAATGATCATATAAATGTACAATAAAAATGATAAATGATAAAGTTAACATTATTGTTCATACCTAAAGTTATATACATATATAAATAAATGATAATAGATAGATGAACAACCTATAACAGTTACTTGAAATATTGAACCAATTATTGCAAGTACAAATAATCTTTAAATTAAAAATTATTCCAAAAAAAATATATATATATATATATATATATATATAATCAAGGAACTCCTTGATATAATATATAGCAGTTGCCCGTTGGTGTAACCAAGGAGTTACTACACTACTCCTTGGTGTAACCTAACGTAATGTAAGGTAACGTATTTACATGTACATTTCGTCAACAGCTTTTATATACATGCTTTGGAATTGTTACTGAGACTCTTACCAACTGCCTTACTCACAAGTAATCACCATGATATCCTAATGTTTCCGGGTCAAAGTTAGTAGCATCAATACTGGCAGTAAAAGTGATATTTCTTAATCGCTATAGGGGTAGAGTGTATGTCGATGCGAACGTGCACATGTCGATTAAACACCGATTGCCGAGCTCTGTTTAGCAGACAGCATGCGACAAAAATGAAACACCAACGGGCAACTGCATGAAGTCTGTTTATTAAACACAAGCTAACACCTAACACCAATGTTTTTGGTGGTGTTCATTTCATGTTTGGTATTAGATCATACTTTTGCATGAAAATAAACACTAACATAAACACCAACACGAAGCGTAAAATCACCGAATGACCTAACCATACACACACCTCACACTCCATACCCATTAACACTACACCAGTATCCACTGGCAGTATATTGCATGCAGCAGCTGTATTCTGTTATCGTTGTCTCTCTGATGAGTTCAAGACGAAAAGCTGTAGCATGTCTGAATCCACTGCCACTCTTCGATATTTTCTTTTAATCACACATGATTGTGTCTTTCCCAAGGACGGCTGCAAAAGCGGATTTAACTCGCGTGAAGGGTACGTTACCGTCATTGTTCAGGTCATCGATACAGACGACGAGCCACCGGCATTCAGTCAGGACAATTATGACGTCACAATTCCTGAGAGAAACTCGACTTTCGTTTACACGGGTCTTTCTGCCTCGAATGGAGACTCGTTTAACACCCCTCTTCGGTACAGCTTTATTGGTGAGTATATCCCGATCCATCAACGTAAAGGTGTTGTGGTCTAGTGGATAAGTCAGCCGACTGCATATATCGCAGGGTACGGGGTTCGAGTCCCGCTACATTTGCCACTCTACACCTGGGTGTTAAATGGGTACCCGGTAGGATGCAAAAGTTAATGTGGTTGGATTTGTATTATTAAGGGTGGTGGTTATTTTACCTGACTGATAATGAGAATGAATGCCTCACCAAAGGGCATAGTACTAGCGCATCGACTTGGTTTCGAACCTGGGTCACCGGATTACGAGACCACTGCTCTACCGACTGAGCTATCGCGCCTTGCACCTATCGAGCAAGTGGCGCTTGGACAATGGGCGTACATTGTGTGCGAGTAAGCCTGAATCTGATGACCGGGATTATATGTACTGCAACTAGAAACAAAGTACTAGGCGCATTATAAATGTGAGCTATGATTATTAACATAATTGAACTTTGACACATAAACAACAACAACATCTATTAACAATAGACTTTCATTTTCTAGGGATGATTGTCGTTGCGCACGACGCGGTCACTGCGAGGGCTTTATTACCTGCGTTATATCGAACCAGTGAAAGCAAACTCCCTATAGGGCTTTAGATACACCAGTAATTCGTTTCCATATTTAACATTTATAATCGTCTCACGTTAAAGATGGTGCCAGTCATTTACGCAATCCTACGTAAGCATTATGACGCCTTATGAAAACACGTGCTAGAGAAACACTTGGACTAAATCACGTACCAAACGTTACCTTTTAATATAATGGAGAGCGTTGAAGAAATTAAAGTATACGATTTTCGTAGCATTTTTCAAGATTATTTGAGTTTTGCAATATTGTTGTTTTGTTTGTGTAGGGCCTACATTAAATGGATAAAAAATGGTAGCACTTTATGGGAATTTTTGTATAAATATTGTCAAAGATTGTTTAAATGTATTCGCAAAAAGTTAACGCATTCAACTTGTAACGAGGGCTGTAATTGTCAATAAACGGCACATATCCTAATACATTCCTGACAAGTATTTTCAAATATAATTCTTTAACAGACATATTTTGTTTAACTATTGTCGAGAAAAAAATCCATTGAAATATATTACAATTCGTAATAACATACTACGAGAAATACTCCTCGTTCAGAACTAAGAAGATAAGAGTCAAAATTGCGTGTTCAAAATGTTCGATCACTTTGTTTCGAGTAGGTATGACACCAAGTGAACTCAAACAACGTAATGCCAAAGCCAAAGGAGAGTGAGTGAAAGTGTTGACAACGTATTGAACAATAACTGTGGGAACATTGTCATTGAACAACTTGTTGATACAAGCGGTGATAAAAAATTATCCATTTGATAAATCGGACATTTCTTTTTGAACTCATTCATTGATTCAGAACAAAGAGGAGAGTGGAGTTGCTTGTACTATCTTAAAATTGACCCTCTCACGGCTGACGTGACCATAAGGAATGAATTGGACTTCGAGACATCTCCAGGCACCTGTATAATTACCGTCCAGGTAAGAGAACAGCATCTATATTATTTAATCATATTTGTGGCTTACTCAAAAAAAATCATCTATTTGCTACAAATTCTTATTCCTCCTCCTCCCGTCCGTAGTTCCTCCTTCTTCTCTTCTTCTTCATCTTCTTCTTTTCTTTTCTTCTTCTTCTTCTTCTTCTTCTTTTCTTTTCTTCTTCTTCTTCTTCTTCTTCTTCTTCTTCTTCTTCTTCTTCTTCTTCTTCTTCTTCTTTTCTTTCTTCTTCTTCTTCTTCTTCTTCTTCTTCTTCTTCTTCTTCTCTCTTTTCTCTTCTTCTTCTTCTTCTTCTCTCTTTTCTCTTCTTCTTCTTCTTCTTCTTCTTCTTCTATCTTTTCTCTTCTTCTTCTTCTTCTTCTTCTTCTTCTTCTCTCTTTTTCTTTTTCTTCTGCTTCTTCTTCTTCTTTTTCTTTTTCTTCAACATGATATATTGAGTTATTGTTAATATTCTACTTCTTCATCAACTTATTTTTCTTCATCTTCGTTTTGTTTTGTGGTTGGCACTACGGCCCAGACATTGCATGTAATGACGTCATCATTGTCGCTTTCAGTATCATCATAATGATCATCATCATCACCATCATCATCATCGTCATCGTCATCATAATCACAATCTGTTATTTTCTTCTCTAATTATAGGCGGTACAAGAGAACGATTTCAACATGGTTGGCACTACGAACTTGACAGTGACCGTCATGAACGTCGAAGAATGTCCAAGTTTCATCTTACAGAGCTACTCCGGACAACTGACCGAGGACGACCCCTTTGTGATCACCGATGGCGGCAGCGAAAGGTTGATTATGGGCATGACTGATGAGGATGGGGTAATACGTGAATCCTTCATATCAGATCCATGAAAAACTGTAATCCATAAGAGTAGAAAATTTAAAAAGTGAAACAATTTAATAAATGAATTGATAATGAGTAAGTAAGATAAGATGAATATAAGTCGGCAACCCTAGTAAAAAGTACAACAAACTCTATTACCACCATTGGAAATGATTTATTATAATACATTCACGTTTCTCTCCCCCCCCCCCCTTTTTTTCTTCTTTAAAGTTTCTAGAGTATAATTAATACAATTGAATGGATGCACAGGAAACACTACACGGGTCTGTGCCTTGATGTATTGTAAAATGTACATATTTGATTGAATATTAAACTCATGGTGTTCCTTTTCTTGTATAGGTATTCGGTGGGCCGAGTTATATTGAACCTAATGATACAATCGAGCTGGTAGAGATGAACATGCCAGAAGGAACTATGACTCGATTCTTTTTAATCAAATTCTTGGATCCGGCATCAATCGAGAGCGATACCAAAATACAGGTAGGAGATTTGTTTGGCTTTTAATATTATTTATCGATGCTCTTTCAATTCTGTCAGTAAACAAGATCGCAAGTTTTATTGAAAAATCAACTCAAGGGAGAATTTCAATATCCTATTGTAGATCCGATAGAATTCATGTTTGGATTACATTACGTAATACCCCATTCTCATGCTTACATGCCCAATGCTATTTAAATTTCCTTACGTTTATTTTTCGAAAGTATTTGCGATCGAGTTAGCAGTGAATCATTTTATTGGACATAAAAAATACACAATCTTTCACTCTATCCGTGTTTCCTAGGTGAATTATGAACGGCATAATAAATAGTTTTTCAGACTCCTCATCGCCTTTGATTAGGCAACTTGGCGCTCTTCAGATTCCTGGATTGGATTGAATTGGAAATCTTAAAACATTAAAAAAAATGTCATACAAATCTACTTAGAGCATCTCTGCAGTAAACACAGAGTATCAGTAATCTACATAAAAGACCACGTTCTATTTGTAAAATTAGTCCTTTCATTGAACTCGAGTTAATGGAGATTCGGATATTAATTAGGAAAAGAAAGAACCTACTCCTTTTACCCGCTTATCGTACTAAACTCTTACAGCTTATTATTATGTAAAACAAGACACACAGCTGACATTGAGATTATTTCGTTCCTTTTTCATACATGAAAAGAACAAATACAAAACTAGACAAAAATAACGTTACACCAAAACACACACACGCACACCGCTTACACACGCCAACCTCCATCCCACACACGCATACACTTTTGTTTTTTTTATAACAATTTTGTTTTATTTCTCCAGATGTGTAATACAAACCATGACATACAATTGAATAAAATAAACGTGTTCAATATTGATGCTTTTACATAAACATAATTAAACACAAACTTATTTGCAGTATAATATAACTTGGCAACAAAGTAAACGTATAAGTACCTAAACATAATATGTCAATTGTAAATGTTATTTACTTATATATTACAAAAAACTTAAACAAATCTGGAGGTAATTTTACTGAAACAATCCTGCCCCCTCCCTGCCCCCTCCATCACACAAACATACTCACCCTCTATCACACAAACATACTCACCCACCCACACACATACTCACCCACCCCCCCCCACCCCCCCCCCCCCCCCACACACACACACTACTCACTCACACACACACACACACACACACACCCACATGCATTCTCCCTCTCGCTCTTTCTCTCATACACCAGAGACAATGAAAATAGCTATTTGAACAATATGAATAGTCGTACAACAATTATAAACACACAGTAACGAAAAAAAGTCGTTCTGTTTATCGTTGCTTTATGGGCCTACATCGTAACCTAGGAGTGATTTTTGATTGTCGGTTGACATTTGAGAATTTTATATCTAAAAAATGTCGCGCTGCTTCGTATGCTTTGTATAGGATTGGAAAAATACGTGCTTTTTTGGATAGGCCCACCACTGAAAAATTAGTCCATGCATTTGTTTTATGCCACATTGATTTTTGTAACAGTCTTCTTTTCGGTCTTCATCAGCAACAAATCAAAAAATTGCAAACTATTCAAAATTCAGCGGCAAGATTAATGACCCGAACTCGGAAATACGAATCAATTACTCCTGTACTACGAAATCTACATTGGCTTCCTGTCCACTCCCTTATTTTGTTTAAACTATTATTTTTTGCATACGAATGCTTTCATGACATTGCCCCTTCTTATTTATGTGAACTTTTATCATTATATCAGCCTGCTCATACTTTAAGATCAAGCTCAAAATCATTATTCATTGTCCCTCCCACCTCAACAAAAACATACGGTGAACTTTCTTTTACACACGCCTCCTCAGTTTTATGGCATTCACTTCCAGATTCCATGAGAAATCACAATAATTTAAACAAGTTTAAGGTTTCTCTTAAAACGTATTTATTCATTGTTAAAAGTGTACACCCATGAACTCAGCGTCCAACACTACATGTACTTCTTTGCTTCTAAGTGGATTTTCTAATTTGTATGACTTTTTTTTGTAATTCTTTCCTTTCTATTTAAAGCGCATAGGGACTGTAATGTGTTATGCGCTATAAAAGAACTGAGTATTATTACTATTTTTATCAAAACAATTTATAAGATTAGTTTATGAGAGCACTAATCCTGTAACTCTACTTCTTATGATATTTTAAAAAAAAATTTCCCAGATATTTCTGAGCGATGACAAAGCAGATATGGAGTGTGATAGTGTTACAAACGTAACCGTGCGGCTTATGCCTGACGGCTTGGCGCCTAATTTTACTCAAAGTTATTACCATGGAAACGTATTAGAAAATGCAACCGAGGGTACGAGCATTATTCAGGTACTGTATTGTTATTCTTCTCATTGCATTCTAATCGATTTTTATTCCTTAACAGAGAATTAAAGTTGACTCGTGAGTTTTTGCAGAAATTTAAATCATAATGACCTGTATTCTAGTAAAATTTATACTCGACGGCCGACGCTGGAATTTAACTCAAAATCGAGTTTAAAAAATGACGTTAAACTGAGGTCATTAAGTTTTTCCTTTGTGAAATGTGTTCTTAGACACAGAGTCGATTTGGATTAGTACAGTACAGACCATCGTGGTCAGGTTTACTCTTTAATAATATATTCTCCTATTTGATCGGCAAGCAACAAGTCTTATAAACAAAATAGAAATATTAGCCTCGCCTCTTACAATAATAGACTAACTATTAATAATTAATATACAAAAATATTACCCTTCTTGTACAAAGCTGTCTTACATTAAGTAAAATCATTGTATCATGATCAACACAACGCGACGTATTCGCTGTTCGGGAAATTCTCTTGCCGTGCAAAGTTCTGGCTTTCATGAGCCTCAGAAGTTAATATCGCGAAATTGTCTGGTTTTACAGCAATCATTCTTATCACTATTGTATCATTCTCTTTTCTCGAATTAAGGTGGAAGCATGGAATGCGAACATGACCTCAGAAGGCATCGTCTATCGTCTCCAAATGGCGTCGGACGGCGGAGAGGATGTCTTCAGCGTCGATGCCGAGAGCGGTGACGTTTCCGTCGTGGAGGACGGCTTAGATGCGGAGAAGGTTAAACAGTACACGCTCATCGTCGAAGCGGTGGATGAAAGAGGGACCTACTACAGGTACTGCGTGATGATATCATTCACACATGATGAATACCCCCCCCCCCCCCCTCCTTCCAAAAAATGGGGTAACATTAAACTGACATCATATATAATAACAATAATAACATTTATTTAGCGCTTAATACTACTGTCTGTAAACTGTACTTGCATTACCCTGGCATATTAGCCGAGCTACCCTGATAATTACCACCGGTGGTCGGGGAATTTCTTTCCACTTGCAACCCATTTACATCATCCTGGTGGAAAGTGCAACTATAGATAAATTTGTCTTTAGATAAGTTTTTATTTAATGTATAATAAACGCGTGGCCAATTAAGATGACCTGGTTTTCAATTGGGCCCTCTACATGAACACAGAGATTTTACAAAAACATATCAATACAATCAAACATAAATATGCATATTTTTTCAGTTCAAACAGTTCGGTTAAATTGGGGGTGGGGAGCAACCAAGAACATTACAGGAAAGTAACGTAAATGACGAGAGAGACAAGAAAAGGAATTGGAATACAATTGAAAGATACAGATAAACGATGAGCGGACGCGTAAAGCAAAAAGGAAAATAAAGGTGTCCGGGGAAAAAGGGAAATATGGAGAAAGTTATATAAATTGACAAATATGTACAAATAAACATTAAATTAAAATTGTACAATGCTATAGAAAAGCAATAATGGTACACATAAACAAAGTATAAAACAACATAATATAAATATGAATATTAATTTAAGAAAACATATCGTCATTAGTACTCATCACTCCCCTATTATTGGACCATTATTATGTTGATTAAGCCTTGGTATCGTCTCATCTTTTTTAAAATTTTCTCTTTTGATAATATTAATGTCATCTAGAAATTGAAGGTTTTCAGGAAGTCTTTTTAAATTAGACTGGACAGGAACATTAAAAAAAAATTGTTCTACTTCGTGAAATTCTTACCAACATTTTACTTCTAGTTGTTCGCCTCGAAACGTCAGTCAGTACTCTCGATTCAACTTTATGTATATTCATTTATTCATCATACAGCAACATTTCTTTTCTCTTTACCTCTTCAGAGGGACTTTATTGTCCCATTTCAAAATACATATATATTATTTACAAAACATATGAATTATATACAGGATCAACATAATTTCTTAAAATTATAATTTTAACATTTCCAATACTCTCGTAACTTCTTCATTATCGAAGTATCTTATATTTTCTTTGTATTTCAAATAACATTTTAATGATGAATTAAAATATTTATTAACCTCTTTGGATTGGTTGGTACTTCCCCAAAGTTCCTATATAACCAGTTGAGCATAAGTTATCAAAAAATCATACAGCAACATGTTTTGAACAATAATTGTTCAAACTTTGGTCGAGATTTTTTCTCAAAGACTGTTCAGAGGAGACCTCCCATAAACAACGAAAAATAATGTAAGCGGTCCTCTTCTCACAAACATGGGGCAACGGTTAACTCTCTTTTATTTTTTTTAAATCAAATTTATCATCTAGGTACAGTATAACGTCCGTGATCATTGACGTGACCGATGTCAACGAGCACGCTCCGACGTTCGCCGAAGGTGTGGTTGAAGTCGACATCGAGGAGGAAGTACCAACGGATTCCTCGGTTTACACTGTTCAGGTATTCTTTCAATGATTCCGGTACTGCGCCCCTGAATTCATGTTCACTTTGTCGTTTTGGAAAGGTCGAAGTTCATTGTGAGGAATAGTGATACTGTGTTTATGTTAAAGGTCCATAATTATACCCTTCCGTTTTATAAAGACCGTCTGTACTAGTTTGGCCAGGAGGGATTTTACCACCCAATGTGGTCACTGAATTTTAGGGCTAAGATATGGCTACTGGGCCCTACAGCTTTACAAGCTTGCTTTCATGTAGGTCCCATCATATTTCTCTCAGTTAATTCAGTACTCTATATTGACCACTTATCTTTATGGTATTTATTATGTATTAATGATTGTTATTTTATCACCAAAACAAAATTGTACTTTATTTTGAAATGTATATGTAACATGAGAAATATGAAAATAAATGAAATGAAAAATGAAATGAAAATCTAGGAACAAGAATATTGACATTTTTCACTGTGAAAAAAAAGCTAAAAATATAAAATTGTCATAAGTTGTACTAATTAAGATATAAAATCACAACAAAGGTCGCTTGGCTGCTCGAGTATGAGTGGCGGTTGGTATAATGTGAGGTGACGTCATTGATTGTAAAGTGTTACACACGGGGGACCCTACAATTAGTAATGAAGATATGTCACTTTCTTTATTTCATCTGCTTTGTACAGGCCAACGATTTAGATGTTGATGCAATTCTTGAGTACTCTATCGGGGAGACTGCTGGTCCTTTCGCAATAGATTCAAAAACGTAAGTTTTCATTTTGCAATGCACTTTATACAAGCATACGAGCCATGATTCGTCTAGATGGAAAGGTCTAACACACGACCAGGATTCGTCCTATGGGCCATTGGTTCCAAGCTCACATTATCATAATAATAGGTATAATAGTAAAAGCAAAAGCCATAATGATAATGGTAAAATTATAATAGTATTATTGATAATAATGATAACAGCAATTATAATAATAATGGTAAAATCATAACAGTATTATTGATAATAATGATAATAGCAATTATAATAATAGTAACAATACAAGTAATAATGATAATAATGATAACAATAATGACGATAATAATATTAATAATAATAATGGTAATAATATCAGTAATAACAATGATCATAATTTTAATAATAATGGTAATAATATTTATACTCATAATGGTAATAATAACAGTAGCAATGATAATAATTTTGATAATAAGGATGATGATTATGATAAGGAAAAAAGAAGAAAAAGAAGAAGAAGAATGATAATGATAATAATAAAAATAATAATTGTAATGATAATAATAGTTATAACAAAAAGATTACAATAATATTATTGATAATAATAATGTTTAATAATATCAATAATAATGATAACAATACAAATACAAATAATATCAATAACAATACAAATACAAATAATATCAATGATAATGATAAAAATACAAATAATGATCATAATAATAATTACAATAATGATAAAAATGTACACAATAATAATGATGATAGTAATAATAAAGTAAAGGAGAACGGCGTATTTATACATTTATTTATACGACTTCGAAGATGACGTGTTGAAATGATTACAAGAACTGGTGACCCCATATTTCAGAATAGAGTCCAGTAATTTTCCTCTTTCATTAACCAAGGTCACATTAGGTTATGGATGAATTAATAATAAAGTTAATGATAATAATAATATTTAGGCTATAATAGCATTTCATATAGCAGACAAGTTTGTCTAATATCAAGTCAGTTGAGAAGCAAAATAATGACGTGTCATTTTTTTTTCCCCCATCATTTATTAATTGAATAATAATACGTACATCAGAGACACAAACTTATCTCGATTACAAAGAAAAACACATGAATTATACTTATGTCACAAAAAGAGTTATACTTGTTTGTTTAACATAGTCAACATTTTTTCCAGAGATGATGCTTTTCAACATTTGCCCTCCATAATATTTCCTTTAAATAAATGTCAAATATGTTTGTAAAATTACCTTTTCTTTTTTGCGTATATAATACATAAGAAGCTAAATTATTGAATAGATTTTTAAAAAACTACATATTTTGAATATATATAATCACATTGCTTGTCTACAATTATATCACTGTATTCAATTTTTTTTCATTATCAAACAATACTTCTGTTTTTTGGAGAAAAAAAATTCTTCTAAATTTGTCTATCCTTCTCAGAGGAGAAATTTCGACGGATGGGCGCCTGGATCGTGATGAAGGGACTACCGCCTATAACATAACTGTGGTTGTCATGGATGGGACCAATGTAAGCTCTAGATTTATAATCAACTCTTCTTTGTAATGATTGTGAATCTTGCAATACTACGGACAGAAAACATGATCGGAAATTAATTGCTGCAAACTCTATATTAAAGGGACTTTGTAACATTGTTCAGATGAGAGATAGTGGTGCTAAGGTAGTGACTTCAATGCTAGATGTAAAATTAAAGATAATCTGAAAATTTGAGTGAAAACGGATCATTATTCATGGTACAAATTGGGAAAAACTGATCTTATCGATTCCTTAATTCTCCCAACTATATTATTCTACTTCTATTCAGCATAAAGACAAGGACAATTTAATTACATTTTAGGTGAATGTAAATCGTCACAAAGCAATAAAATGGCTCTACATTCCATTCCAGCCAGTTAAGTGTTGACAGATTTTTATAGCCTGTTTTGTGTATTTTTATCATGGTAAAAACGGTTGGGAAAATTCAAAAATGGTTGGGAGAATTTACTGTTAATCACTGTTAGAGGGTGCCTCACATCGACGCCTTCAAAGAAAACCATAGATATCTTTGTGGTTTGAGAATTTGTTCAGGATTTTTTGCATGTCAGAGGGTTAGTATAGTACAAGGAATATAGTAAGTAACATTTTATACAAAAATTAAACAATTTTTTTCATCAACCTTCAACAATGTCACCGAGTCACTTTAAGCTCGGGGAAAACCATGTATATATATTTCGTACCCCTATAACCTCGCCAATAATCAACGCTTCTGTACATGCCAGACCCTATTTTTTTATAGTCGCTTTACAGGGGAAAGATTGCATTGACCGGACCCGGTATAGATCAAGTTCAAAGTTTATTTCTACATCTCTTTAAAAATGAAGATTTAAAATAAGCATCAGTGCTATTTAGAATTGTAAAATGAAAACAGTTATTGACTATACTTGTAGTTATATACCCCTTTGTACAGAGGATGTAAGGATGTTTAAAAAAAAAAGGATCTCACTGATGGTTTCAACATGTTTTAGGCTGAATGCCACTGTACTTCGAGCTCATCTTTAATTCAACATGCAATTTACGTGCCGATTCATGAGTTGGTAGCATTGTCATCGTTTCGTTTATGAAGCCACATCGATCCTTGGTATTCTTAAACGTATAGAATGTGGGGGGAGGGTTTGAGAAAGGTTAGAAAAACTATTTCCAAAGCAATTGATTATACCGTCATTCTAGTGTATCTTAATCAGTGATTACTTTTCCTCTTTCTCCCCACCCCTGCATTTTCTCTTTCTCTCCCTCTCTCTCTATCTCTTTCTCTCTCTCTTTCTCTCTCTCTCTCTCTCTCTCTCCCTCATCTTTCTCTCTCTCTCTGTGTGTTCCCTCCCACTCTTCTCTCTATCTTTCTCTCCCTCTCTCTCTCCCTTCCCCCTCTCTCTCTCTCTCTCTGTCTCTCACTCATTTTTGTTTTATCCAATTTTCATTACAGGAAGACGATTGCCTAGTGACTATTACTCTGACAGACATCAACGACAACGCCCCCGAATTCACAGGAGGATCTCAAGCGTTGTCTGTGTCTGAAAACACAACTGATACAGAAATGTTACAAGTAAATCACCCCTTTTATTTCTCACAATTTTATGGTGGTTTTCAGGTGTTTTTTTAAATTCTAATATAATCAAATCATTTATCGTTTAATTAGTTTGAAATAATCATAGATTGAAGAAGTTAAATCAGTTTAGGAATAAATGGAATAACTCGTTTGTTTTCAGTTTTTAAATTGTCCTGTGAAGTAAAACCTTCAAATCCATCAAGTTTGAAAATATTTTCTGTGTTCCTTTTTTAAATACACAGCGGCTTAGAGGTGGATAATTACTGTATTTTTTTAATGTAAACGGCATGAATGTTTCTGTCAGGTATGAACTTTTTCTGTAAAAAATAAATTGTGTATAATTTATCTTTACTATTCAGTATCTAAAACTAAAGAAGAAATGCATTTCAGAGGCATTTCTTACAAACAAAATCTGCAAGTGGGCACTTTAATGTGGTGTAGAGTAGTTTAAGTTAGTGATCGGAGAAATAATGATAATCATACTGTTAGCGCTTTGGTCAGTCGATGGTAAAGCACTCTGTAAGTAACAGCTATTATTATTCATGTTATCATTACTATTACTTTTAATATTACTTTTATTCTATTTATGATTATTTTTATCATTATCTTTATTATTGTTTTTTAATTATTATTATCTTTTCATTTTCATCTTTGATGAAGGTGATTGAGGCCACTGACATCGATGAGGGCGTCAATGCCGAGATCGTCTACGTGCTAGAGTCTCCCGATGACGGCCTCTTCTCCGTCGACAATGAGACGGTAACTTTTTTTAAAATTATACCCTTCATACTTTTTACAATATCTGACATGAAATATACAACATAATATATACAGTCATACAGAATTTACGATTACATAAATACAAGAAAGTAAACCCAAATTTGGTAGCTTATATATGATTAAAATGTAATAATCAATGTGACCTTCAAATTTATTTCATGGTAATGAAGAAGTTGTTTTCTGTTTAATGATACCCTTTTCATAATTGTCCTGCGTTTGATAACTTAGCACCAGTGTTTTTAATAATGGGATGTCTAAATCTCCTTGTACCAAGCTTAAGCTGATGCACCAATCATTTGAAAATTTAATTCAGCTCAATTGATGAAGGAATATGTCTCTTCGTATTGTGTGTGGGGGGGGGGGCTGTATAGTCATTATAATACATCTAGTGCATAGAACAACAAAGTATTTTTTGACAAAATAATTTTCTAAGTAGTTTACTACAAAAAGAATGGAGCGTTGTTCCCAAGGGAATTAGTAGAGTTACCTATGTGTGTTTTATGGATCACAAATAATTATTATAATATATCTAGTGCATAGAACAACAAAGTATTTTTGGAGAAAATGATTTGTCTAATTATTTTACTACAGAAAGAATGGAGCGTTTACCCCCAAGGGAATTGTGTGTTTTATGGATCTCAAATTTAACGCTACATAGCTTTCTCATTCTCTATCAGATTTTCTTCTTTTTATCTCCTTTATAATCTACTTGACATCAGGATTGACCTCTTCTTACAAATACTTATATAAGCCTATCGATGAAAATGTCGGGGAAAAACTCATTTTTTTTTTCATGTCAGAATGTTTATGTATCATTATTTTTTAATTTCATTCACAGGGAATGTTGTACGCACATGGACCATTTGATTATGAAGCCGTGAAGGAATATACACTCGTGATCAGTGCTTCTGATTCCAAATTTTTAACCTTAACAACGGTAAGATGTATCACAATTTAAATGCAATTGTAGTATATTATGTTTGTTTGTAATTATCTTCTTCTTTTTTTTTTTTTGGGGGGGGGGGAATAGTCATCGCTGCCATCCCCTATTAGGCATCCACCCCAAAATTCACCCATTGATACCACCCCCTCCCCCCTCCAAAAAAATAAATATGAATCTAGACGTTTACAAGCATCCCCCCCCCCCCCCTCCTCCCCGACGAAACCAAAAACCTAATGGTATTTATAACCAAATTAACGTTGTCCTAAATGAACTGAAAAGCAGAATTTCCTCAATTTCACGATTTTTTGGGTTTTAATTGCTATCCTTAAACTGCAACTATCCGGCCCCCCTTATTTCAGAAAGCCTCCACATTTCCTTTCATATATTTTTTCATCAAATATATATTGGGTCCGGCAATTGATCCGGTTCAGCTTTTTTTCCAAAACTTTCCGAAAATGTTCGATCTCCTATTTTTCCTCTCCGTCCAAAAGGTCACAGTAACAATCACCGATGTCAATGACAACGCTCCCGTGTTCATCTCATTCTGTTTGAATATCGAAGTACTCGAAGACGTAGGTGTCGATGATGTGATATGTACAGTAGGAGCCGTGGACGACGACGGTGACGGGGAAGACACAGTCTTGTACTCGTTAGACCCATCCAGCGGTAGGTTTTTGTTTAAAGCCCCACTGCACTACTTATAGCTACTTGCACCCTCTATATAGCAAACAGTGTCTAATCGGTGCCTGTTGGTCCCCCATGATCCCCTTTTTCTTATGTTAATTGAGAGCTGATTTGATGAGATAACCATCTGTCAGTGACCTTGCAGGAAGGTCTAATCCCCTGGCCAAAGTAGTGCAGACTGGCTTTAAATATTCAAATCCACGAATTTACGATTTCATTATGATTTCATCGCAGCCGAAATTACTGGAGAGCAAAAGAGTTCTACCAAAACAAACAATGAATGTCATTGTTATACAGTATACGAAGAATGATTACCTTAAGTATAAGTGTTACTCAAACCCATAGTTTCAAATCTCACATAAATTCATAGTACTTTTTCTCTATTCTTATCATGCCTCCTAGAAGATGTGGTAATATTGGCCTGTGTTTATGAAAATGATAAGTGGTTGGGAGATAGGATAGAAAGGAGAAGAGATGGGGGCAAAAGATGCATGGGAGAGACAGACAGAGAAACACACAGAGAGGCAAAGAGAGATTAAGATTTTTTTTTTACAATGGTCGGAACTTAAAGTCCTAAAACCATTACACACACTGTATAATTGTCTCTTGCGTGATTTTTTTTTCATGTCATATGTACATGTTTCTTCTTAAAATTTTCCCACCATACTCTCTATATTTATTTAGTTTTATTGCTATTTTTTGTTCTTCATTAATTTCTCCTAGAAGATAGAACATTACAAAAATAAAGATAGTTTGATGAATTGTTGAATGAAAAAACAAATGAAGCATGCACATTTCGTATGCGGTTGATTCCTTGTTCTCCCATATATAGGTGACGTTCCGTTCAACGTTAACCAATTAACCGGAGAGATCAAAACGGATGGGACGTTGGACCGAGAAACAGAAGACATTTACATCATCACTATCATCGTAGGTTCTTTCTTATATAGGAAATAAAATGGTCTATGCGAAAATGGCAACACATGCATATACTTTCCTAACAAAGCATTGTTGTAAGCGGTGTATTTACACAACTGGGAAAATGTAAACGCTTGTAATAATAATATAATCATTATTGGATTTATATCGCGCTTAATACAGAAAAACGTCTCTAAGAGCTTTACGGATATTATTACCCCAATCATCAGATCATTCACTCACAATTTGCACCATTTCCACTCCCTGGGGAGTATTCCTACCATATGGACACCGTGAGAGCATAGGCAATTATTAATACAAATGTATCTGTCTTGGGTATTGGGTCTTAATAGTAATGGTCTACTGACCATGTGGTAATGAGTAACTACTTCCGGGGGAGGGGTATACAAACTTGCAAAAGGGGAAGTTTTAAAAAAAAATGGAAAACGAGCCATGTAGGTGTAATTTTGACGAAGAAAACGATTAAAAATGAGAATGATTATTTGAAGATGTAATCAATCAAACACAATCATTAGCAATTCTATGACGTAATTTATGAGCACCGTGTGATATTTGCTTAATGCTGAGAATATCAATAACTTTCCATTGCTTTTGACGTTGGTGAAGCAAAAGATCTTGTTCTAACCGCGGTTGCGTAAAACAGGATGTGCAGTATATGCTATGAGGATGCCTGTAAAACGATCATGAAAAACTTTCGAACAATCTTTCGAAAATATCAACTAGAAGGAAATGTCACTACCTTCTAATATCTCATACATTAATCACCTTTGGATAATACGTTATACGTCTTTGTAATGAGTGTACATTTCACAAGGCGATGGTCAAGGCTACTGAAATTGACAAAGTCATTGCTATCGTGTTATGTAAAATCATGTTTCTTTAATGCTAAATATATTACTCAGTGCGAATATAGTATCGAAAATTATATATCGCTAGTGATATTTGTTTGTCTCTCAATGTATGGTCAACAAGGGATCTAAGAGTTCACGACGTTTTGTGCGCCGCTGCAACACTTCGTCAGGTGATAACATATATATTGTAAGCAAGCGTCTTTTATACTATTTCTCTCTTTGGAGAAAATAGAAATTTATTAATTTTTACCCCTTCCCTTTAAAAAAAAATGCTCAGGCCGAGGATAGTGGGGAGCCGCCTCTCTCCAGTAACACCACAATCACCGTGATCGTATTGGATGTCAATGACAACATTCCCATGTTCGCGAAGACATCGATCACAGTGCGACTACAAACGGACGATCTCGCTGATCCGCCTGTGAGTATAGTGACCTTCTTTATTCGTCATAATTTTGATGGCAATTAGTCACATTTGACTGTTTTTGTCATTGACTTTACGATTATTATTCGTTCTTCTCTGTCTCTCTAACTCTCTCTCTCTTCTCTCTCTTCTCTCTCTCTCTTTCTCTCTCTTTCTCTCTCTCCCTTTCATCCCCCTCTCTCTCTCTCTCTCTCTCTCTCTCTCTCTCTCTCCTCCTCCTCCTCCTCCTCCTCCTCCTCCTCCTCCTCCTCCTCTCAATAATTGATATTATTTATATAATTTTTCTTTCTTTTCATCCCTAACAAAATTATATACACAATTATACATACCTTAGCTAAATTTGAAAATGAAAATCCACAAAACAACCACGATCCTGCTCACTTCCAACCGTAAAATTCCATTATTTCCTCCTTCATGAGTTACCATGGTAACGTCCTTGGAGGTCACATTCACCACCAACTTTATGGCAAACAACAAGAATCCGATAGTTGTGGGTTTATGTCTAGCATGAAATTTCATTTCTAAAATCTGTGCCGTGGAAGGGGAATCTTCTTTTTCTTCTTCTTCTGCTTCTTTCGTTTTTACTTGTTTCATCTTCTGTCGCTTCCCATTCTCTTCTTCTTCGTTCACTGCACTACTTTTCTTCTCTTCCAACTTTTCCATCTTGTATCGCTTTCCATTTTTCACTTTGCTTTATTTGATTATTATTTTGTTATTATTCCTTTTATTCCTCTCTTGGTTCCTAATTCGTTTCAGGCGATGTTTTAACATTAATAACCAATTCTTCAAATTATCATGCGCTCTATATTAAAAAAGCGCGATCAATTATTATCATTATTCATCTTCTCCAGTGATTAATGTAGCTATGCGATTCACCCTGTGTCCACACACACAAAATTCATCGAATAGCTATCCCGAAACGGTATTGCTATACCGTTTCGGGATAGCCATACGATGAAATTGTATGTGCGTATACGAACAAAACGTCGTATAACGAAACTAGGGTCTGGGCATCGTTTCGTACTCGAACTCGATAAAGAATCACGGAATGTTTTGTGTGTGGACGTATAGTCGAATTAGAACGGTATAACACGGCGGGGCTTAACGTGACGGAACACTCATGATTGGCCGGCTGTCATGTCAACCGATTTCGTCAAAATCAGTTTCTTTATACATTTCTTTATACGATTTTTCTTACCTTGTGTGTGTTGACGCCCTGTTCGCTATACGGTGATTCTTTATACGACGTTTCTTTATAGAGTTTTGGGATAATTTTGTTTGTGTGTGGACACGCTGATAGTGTTGTTGTTATATCAATCTATTCTACTCTACATCAGGTTCTACTTTCACGTGTGAAAGCGACTGATGACGATCTTGCTCCATGGAACATAACTCAGTGCGAGAAGACAGGCGGAGAAGATTCCTTCGTCGTTCTTACTGGTCAAGGTGATTTATATATTTTAGATTTGTATGGGAAATTACAGAAAGTGCCCCCCCCCCCTCCGTATTAGTTGTTAATGTATTTTGAGCATCGTGTGACTGCGACGATGGTGTCCATTTAATTCGCTTTATGATGTGGGTTTGTGGAACGGTCACTGACTGCGTATAGGCCTAGCCGCCTAGGTGGTTTTGTGATTTGGGTTTAAGGAGTAGAAGAAAATTGCAGACTTCTAGAGCTGCTTCTGAGGCAACAGAGATAGGTTCTGCGTACATGCATGGTTTAGACTCTCTCTCTCTCTCTAAGTGCCATATCGTTTGACTTTGGCGATCATGCTGTTCCACAACCCTCGGCTCCTAGCCTTCTGTATTAGTACCACTCCTAGTTCTTTCACTCCTCTCTCTTCCAACAATTTCTGCAGACTGTCCATCCAAAGTATCCTCCTTCTTCCCCTACTCCTTCTTCCCACAATTTTCCCTGTCAAAGCAAGGTTCTCTAAGCCTTCTTTACGTGTAATGTGACCCATGAACTTCAACTGGGTTTAGACTAGTATGTCCAAATGCCGAAAGCGACAAACATTTAAACAACATTTTGTTCCGTATTATTTGGCACAAGGGGGGGGGGGGGGGTAGATGGCGATGCAAGAGAGTATTGTTCTTCAACAGGGCCGAAACTCCTGACGACTGGTGGAAGAACAAGTTACTGATGATCCTCTTGGGGGTGCATGAGACAACGACCACCATATTTTCTTGATGTCTTTAATATGGTGATAATGAAGATGAGGATATAGATTTTACCAGTGCGACGCGATTACACTTGTACACCATGGACCTACTAAGACCTAAGACCTTCGTAGTAGTGCCATGCAATGATTAAACTAAATAATTTTTTCTTAGTCTTAGTCCATGGGAAATTCGAACAAACTTGAACAATCAAGGTTTCAAGTATGATTTCAACACAGTTTTATCTTTTACTCGTTATGTATACGTACATTAAAACAAATTCTAAACTTGAGCGCTACATGGATGTTTTCAAATGAGATGTAAACATGATGCAGTATTGGAGGTCATCATAATATGCCTGCCAAGCAGGTAATTTTGATAGTGTTGCCACAGTAAATAAATCCCTCGCTACACGCTATAATTGCATTTCTGCTTTCTCTCTGGCTTATCCACATAGATGGATCTTGTGAAATATATGCCTACGAAGAGCTCCCCCTCTCGACCGACCCATATTCAGTCTCCTTCTACGCTTTTAATCCGGATAACCGAGATCGTCCCTCTGCGAACGTCACGTTGACGGTGGATATCCGAGATACCGTCTGCGACGTCACATTCGAGAATGAAGCAGATGATGACGTCATCGTCTTGAAGAGCGAATTGGAAACGAATGTGCCTGTTGTGACGTTGAATGTCACAAGCAACTGCAATAGCGATGATATTGTGTTTAATATATCAAGTCAAACATATCGGCCAGGTGATCCATAACTCTTTGATAGTTTACCTTTTGCAACCCATAACGGTGACGTAAAATTAGACTAAATCTGTCCAAACTTAGAGATGCAACAGTCGTATGAAAATAGCATTTAAGGAAGATTGTTCTCAAAGAAAATACTTGAATTCACTTTATAAAATTAAGATTCGTCTAAGTAATCTTTTTGAAAATAAATTTGAATTAATATACACAAAATAATCAATCAGATTTATGAATCTAACACACACGCACCAAAAGAAAATGCTATGATTTGTGATACCGAAATTAACCGAAATAACTCTCAGTTAGTTTATTGATTATCTGTTAAGATTCTTTACTTTTCTTTTCATTCAAAAGTACCTCTTTTTTATCTTTGACCTTTCAATGTAGATCTGGACGCTTCTCCTTTGCCATCCATAAATTTCACTATCAATGACCAGACTGGTGAGATTTTTCCTACGGACATTGTCATGGAGGGCAAGTATATTCTACTTGTGAGAGCGTATAACCAGTCTGACCCCGAAGTGAGCGAGACGACAGAGGTAAGACAAGACAACGTTTTGTCGGGTATCGCGGAATTAAAAAAAGTGGAGGAGTAGTATTATACTTTAGCATACATATCGATGTTACAGCTGTTTTTATGCGCCTTTTCCAGTGTTGAGAGGAACTTCCCTATCATTTTGTCAGACCCCCCCCCCCCCCGGCACTTAATTCTTCTCCCTCGGTTGATTTAAGAATTTTTAAAATATTTTGTCACGACCCCTTATTCCTGTTGTCGAGTAACTATGACACAACATCTTGAAGGGTTCAATGCTCTGGGACTTACTTTTAGGAAGGGGAGGGTACACACATTTTCCTCGCCCCTCAAAAAATTAAATAACAGGCCAAACAAGCGTTTCATAATCACACTTTTAGGATATTCTTCCAAAACTGGCCTAACAAGCGTTTCATAATCACACTTTTAATATATTTAATAGAAATAGCCTATATTAGAACCCTTGATGGATTCTTAACCTCTTACAGTATTTAGATCTGTTAGGAAAGTTGCGCATATTTGAATTTGTATTGGCTCTTAACCTTTTCCCGTATTTAGAACCCCGCATGGCTCGCCATTGGAACCTTTGTAACAGAGCTGTTATGGGAATTATACATCAACTTACTTCAAATCAACACGTAGCACAAATAGCGAGAGATATTTAAGTCATCTTTGCTTATATTTTGAAAAGATCAACAAAAAATAAAAAATGAAATTAGTAGTGAGGAATTATCATAATAGTGAATAATTTCAAACCGAGGATTGGAGATACCATTTATGTCCTCATCTTATTTACACGATGTATATCAATTTCATTTTTTAAATAGGAGCCCTTAAGTAACCATATTTTCTAAAGGGGTATACAACAATAATCATGTGTCGGTAATATTCTGCCACAGGTGACCATAGTTGTCACGGGGGAAAATACAGCACCAGCATTCGAGGAGCCCTTCTACACTGCCGACATCACCGAGGATTCCATGACCATGGTCATTGACCTCGGCCCGGAGGTCACAGATGTCGACACTCCCAGTTTTGCCAATGGGGAATTAAGCTTCTCTAAGGTCAGCGAGACAGACGGTTCTGGAAGCAGTTCTGGTACGTTGACGCGCATAACGGGCGGAACATGCCATGAACATGACAACTATACAAATATACATCATTGAATGGCTTCAAAGTTTTAACCAATCAGAACGCAGGAAACTATACGACTATACAACTATGCGACGGTACGGCTGCGCCATATCCATCGAAATACTCGTGAACGGTTAATAGTCATATAGTTTCCTGCGTTCTGATTGGTTAAAACTATACAGCAATTCGATGGATGTATAGTTGTATAGTTGTCATGTTTATGGCACGTTCCGCCCGTTATAGTCGCGGGCAAATGTACACTTAAGTGAATGTGCTATCGTTTGTTTGCTGGTTTAGTATATTTATTTGTTCGTTGTTTTTTATGTGCGTCCGTTTTTTTATTGGGGGAGATTGCTCATATTCCCTTATTATTGTGACCCCTGTGTCAATTATTGTGTACTCCTAAAATGCGATTAACCTTTGTATTTCTTGTGTGTCTGTTGTTCTGTTTTTCTCTTTTTGCTAGTCACATAATATCGGAGTAAAATAGAATATGTTAGAACCGTCCTGCTACCCCCCCCCCCCCCCCTCTTTTGCCAGTCAGAGACTTTTGACCCCCCCCCCCCCCCCACCCCCATCCTATAAATCCTTGATCCCACTGGATTCATTTACTTTATTCCCTTTTCTCTTTTCAGATTACTTCGAAGTGAGCTCGAGTGGCATCGTGACAACAACACAAGCAATCCTCAACCTAATCAAAGTCGGCACCTTCGAAGTTGTCGTCATGGTGATCGATGGGGCCATCGAACCTCTAAGTAACACCACTGTGGTGATCATCACTGTCGACATCGATGACCAGTCCAATCCTGTTGTAAGCCCACCGATGATCACCAAAGACTGCCCGGACCAAGTGGAAATCGAAGAGGTATGTGGTTGTATTTTAACATCTTGCGTTACCTTTTACTTCATTAAAAACGAAATTAGTCAGACACAACTTTAGAATAACGAGAACAGGCAAGTTCTTTGAAGTCGAGGAATAACGCACAGTGAATATAAGCCCTCGTCGATCAGTGCAAGGCAGTTTCCACAAAAGGCATTGGGGAAAGTCACCCTTCTGTTGATTTACACTTTTTTTGAAAGATAACGCTGTGGCTCAACATTCTTCGAATCCATTAATGATTAGTCTTATATAAGTACCTCTCAAATTACCAACATTTGAAATAAATACATCCACAGCATTGATTAGTTACAATCGGCACAAAAGTATGAGCCCGTCTATATCGAGGGTTGTGACGATAACGAGTAAGAAATAATAATTTATATAGAAACATCAAAATTCCTTTTTAACCTTATCATTATTGTTTCTACTTTAAGGAGACGGTCTTACCTGTTCACATATGCAGAGTCTTCGGCTCCTCTACCTACGATGACCAAGTCGTCTTCGGGCTCGAATCGGGTTCCGAATATTTCGACATCGGAACTGACTTGGGCAATATTACGACTTCGAAACCTTTTGATTACGAATACGACGATCACTCATACACGGTAAATTATTTCCTTCTTTCTTTCTTGCCTGATGTATATTATATTGTACCCTCTCTCCCTCGGTGTGTATGTGTCGGGGATCCTAAATCCGACTATTAAAGCTATAGTACAATAAGAAGGTCTACACAGTGAGTGCAGTAATTAGTGATTACTAATCATATGCATAGATAAACGCCCGAATTTGCTGTAAAAAAAAAAATCAACATGTTAAATTAAAAAAGAAATCTTCGTCAAATCATGTAACATTTCATCGCAATGTTCGCCATTTTAATAAGACAGGTAGGCCTATATTGGGATTGCCTTCAGTTTGATTTTCTTTATATACAGTGCGTCCCAGAAAAAACGAAAACGAGAATTATCGATATTTTCATAACTTAATTACATTTATAACTAATAATGACACATATTTGGAAAGCTTAGATTCTCCTCTTCCATTTGATGCAACTCATATAATACATATTTCACGCATGAGTGACTAAAATGAAGTTGAAGGGAGGAAACCAAAAGTCATTTGGCGGACGATATCTGAATTTCAAAGAGAAAATCACATTTCTAAAAAGTTGAGGTTCTGCCCTTTCATATGACACCTCAATCATGAAACATGAGCAAGGAATGACAAAGTTCTGTTTGTTTAAAGTAGTGCTTGCATTTCCATAATTTTATCAAACGAATTCGTTTTCACTGGGTGCCTGCAATAGCAACATGCAGAAGTGACAACAGACTTAACTCCGTTTCGTTGACAATCAGCCATGCATGAAGTCTTTCGTCTACGGAGAATCTAAGCTTTCCAAATATGTGTCATTTATCAATTATAAATGTAATTAAGTTATGATAAAACATCGACAATTCTCGGTTTCGTTTTTTCTGGGACGCACTGTACGATCTTGTTCATATATAACAAGAATGAGTTGAATCGAGGAATTGCGATAAGTGGTTTCTCATGCCACATCTTCTCCAAATTAAATGATATGCTGTCGTTTGATGTTTCCTTTTAAACGATTTATAGCTGCTTGTTTATGCTGAAGGGACGACGTCCAAACTGCGCAACTATACTTCGTTCACCGTCATCGTAACTGATATCAACGACAACGCACCTGTTTTTTCTGAAGTAAGTAAACTTGTTAGGATTAATGCTAGACCTCTGGCGTTTTTTTTTTTGGTGTGAGTGCGTACAGTGTTTTTCTACGTAAAAGAAATGAAATACATAGAGATCAATCACTTTTGTGAGATGATCCCTTGGGGATTTCATTCCCACTATTGCATTGTGGGAGCAGGTGTGAAACGCACTACACTGTGTAATGAAACGTTTGTCCCGTATAGAGGGCCTCCTTTACATACGTTATGGCAACCCACATTGTGACAACTGTTCTTAAATCATAAAACTATGACTTTCTTTTATTTGTAATATTTTATTCACTTCGGTGCTCTTATATTCGCAATGACTTTTTTAAAGCAGTTTTGCTTCATTTAAGGGTAAGGAAATATTTCCTTTCAGTCATAAAATACGACAAGGTACACCAAACCAAACTTATACTTTTTTGTACAAAGTGCATTTATCAACACTATTCCAAATTTTTGTATGAATACTAAAACCCTGAATACTGAGTTTGTTTGTTTTAAAAAAATGTACTAATTTCAGTAGTGACACACTCAAAATAAATTCGAATCTCTTTTTTTTTCCAGAGCCCGTATAGATTCTCGATTAAAGAAAATGCGCATGGTTCTACGGAATGCCTCACATTCGTTGGTCTTATCCAGTCCACAGATGCCGACTCAAAAATTAACCAGTTTGTGACGTATACAACAGGTATTATGACGTAATAATTAACAATTACTAAGATAAATAATTGACTGTTTAAAAGTGCGTTTGACATCTGATGGAGCCAATTGGGAAGGTAAACACAACACCGTGGGTTTGTGCGTGTGCGTGTGCGCGCATGCGTGTGTGTATGTGTGCGTGCGTGGATTTGTGATCTGATGTGATTTATGAACAATTTGTTGGCGAAAGGGCAACTTTGGATGATGAGCAAGCTTAGCAAAAAATCCTGAATGGTCCTCGGTAGCCATATTAAATTTTGAACTGGTATGTGTGATACAAAATTGATGTATTATACATTTTTGATGGTTTATTTGTGTAGTGGTGGTTATTTTACCTGACTGCTAAGAAAGCATAAATGCATCGCCTTGGTTTCGAACCCGGTCGCCGGATTACGAGACCACTGCTCTACCGACTGAGCTATCGCGGTTTATGATTTATGATTTATGAGGTGCCGAATGTATTATTAATGTCATTTTGTAATATCAGATCAGAGCTATTGAGGAAGAATCGGTCATCTTTAGACAATATTATGTTGCAATATCACAATATTATAATGAATTATAATTACAGTGTTGGGGTGCGTTGAATGGAAATGAGGAACCCAATTCGCCCGCTTGGCAGAATTTTTTCGGAGTACTAAAAAGTTAACATAATATACCTATCATCTTTAAGGGAGCAACAACCTTGTTCTGCTGCGCACTTTAAATGCAGTTTTACGCAACCAACATGTTAATCCGAGACGATCGTACGGACTCTGAAGAAATTTACTCAAACGCCATTTCAACGTCTATTCTGTTGCCTGCAGAAAACCTGTTCGGATTACGTATGACGTCATTGTAAGGTTCGCCCATTTCAAAAGAGGATGAACTGGGTACTGAAATTTTCGTTTATGAATGATAACATAAGAATGACGATTTTGTTTACCATGGGTACGTAGCAACATCAACGTCAATGCTGTCTTTACCTCAGGACCTTGACGGGAGTGGCAAATGGAGATTCTTGTCTTGCCGAAGGATGTTAAGTGCCGGGCTGGGATTCGAACCCTAAACCCTTGGATTTAGAGTCCAGTGAATGAACCACTGTACCACTACACCTCTGTTGTTGCTTTTCGAAAGTCTTTGCGATCGTGTTGTTCTTTTCATGTTTTTCTAGATGATGACGACTTCGAAGTAAGGGACAACGACCTTATGGCAGTTAACTGCATCAGTCGCAACAGTGTCAAATACGCCACCGGCGAGGTCCGGGTAACCATCACCGCTCTCAATAACGGAACAAACGCTACTCTAACCACTGATGTTAACGTCACCATCGAGGTCGTGGACATAAATGACCACGCCCCGGAGTTCGTAAATGATGATTTCAGTGTCAGCCTTGAAGATTTATCCACAGTTCGTGTTATTTTCCAGGGTGATGTGAATGACATGGATGAGGTAATGTATTTTTCTTTCTTTCTTTTTGCTTTCTTTTGATTTTCTTTCATTATTTCTGTTTTTATGTCCAGTGGCGTATTCAGAACGTAGTCCCAGGAGGTGCGATACATCTGAGCTGAAGACGGTCCATATCCGTCATCGTATTTCAAAATAAAAATGTTTTGTCTACCTCTCTTTAGAAATTCAGCCATCTAATAGGTCGAAATTGGAGTCGTGAATTTAGCCAGGCTAATCCCAATAGTGCCAAGCCCCAATTCCCCCCGTGCCAGGTTGTTTTGGAGATAATCTGATTAACGCGATGGTTCTATGAATAGCGAATGCAAATACACAGCACAGTCCAATGAGCATGAACAATAACTGCTATTACGAATGCTGCATTGAACGCACATGGCACTCAAGTGATAGCTTTCTCGCATGTACAAAGCACTATAACGATAGCGTGCATGCAGCCTCATGGCAGGCTATGAGTTAAAAGATGCCCGCATACCCGTCTACCGGTCAATAGTCTTTCAAAAGATGCCCGCATGCCCGTCTACCGGTCAATAGTCTTTTAAAAGATGCCCGCATGCCCGCCTACCTGCCAATAGTCTTTCAAAAGATGCCCGTATCCCCCGGTTAACGGGCCGCATAAATACATTTTGATGAGATCCCCATTGGTTCACGTGTAAAAAGTTTATTTGTGCGAGCGCGGATACTAATTCTAATTTTATCTCGTGCGGTAACTATATCTGTATATATTTCACCTATAACAAGTGTACATATATATTATGGTGATTGTTGTTTTATTTACTATCATTTTTGTCTATTTGCTTTAATAGCTAAACAATAGAATGTTTACGACAATTTTTTTTGTACAAAATGTTTCCATTACGTTTTTGTTCTAGCAAGGTCTCAATCTGTTTATTATGCTCTGTATTTTTCTCAAATAAATGTAAAAATTTGTCCTAAACTTGAATAACTTTTTTAATATGAATAAATGAATATATAAAAATGAAAATAAATGACAGGCGGGCCGTATAATGATAGCACAATACTTGACTTGTCAAACATACAGGGTCCATTCAACAATGAGAGTGTTTTCAGCTTGGCTGATGATCAGGATGATGTGATCTACTCTCTGTTTCATATGTCATCTGATGGAGATTTGACAGTTCAAGATATCGGCATTAGCGACGAATACCTTATATATGAAGTAAGTAATGCCTTTTGTTTCTGGCATGTATCTACTATGTACATATGTTCTCAAAATTAATCACTTATGCATGTGCGATAGGACTACAACTATACAGTGCGAGATATCACCATTAGCGATGAATACCTTATGGATATGTATGAAGGAAGTATTGCCTTTTGTTTCTGGCATTTAACTTCTATGTAAATATGTTCTCAAAATTAATAATGTATGCATGTGCGAGAGGACTACAACTATACAGTGCGTTCCAGAAAAAAAATGAAACCGAGAATTATCGATGTTTTATCATAACTTAATCACAATTATAATTAATAAATGACACATATTTGTAAAGCTTAGATCCTCTTCTTTCATAATGATGCAATGCAACTCATATGATGCATATTTCCCGCATGAGTGATTAAAACCAATTTGAAGAGAGAAACCAAAAAGTCATTCGGCGGGCAGTATTATGAATTTCAAAGAAAAAATCACAGTTCTAGAAAGTTCATTTTCTTCCCTTTCAGAACACATCGATCAGGAAAAATGAGCCAGGAATAAAAAAAAAAGTTCTGTTTTTTTAAAGTAATGCTTGCATTTCCATAATTTAATTAAACGAATTCGTTTTCACTGGCTGCCTGCCGTGGCAACAAACAGAGTTGACAAAAGACTTAACTCCGTTTCGTTGACGATCAGCCATGCATCAAGTCTTTCGTCTTCTAGCTAAAGGTTCCCGGCGCCTAATTCCTGGTTCCTAAATCCAGGTTATATGCTAAGTTCCTTGCTGGAGGAGCTTGGTTCAAGGCTCATGGTTAGATGTTCCTGGTTCAATATTTCTAGCTCTACATTCCGGTGCCTATAACTCCTGGCTCCTAGCTATAGCCCCTGTTTTCTAGGTCCACGCTCCCGGTTTCTGGCGTCAGAATCCTTGCCTCAGGTTCATAGTCCGTGACTCGGGACTATCATGACAATCACGTCTTCATGACAAGCCCGTAAATTTTCTAGCATATTGTTCAAATAAAGACGATATTCTCAGAAGTTCTGAAAATATGGTTCCTAACAATATGATGCTTTTAAGGTATTGAACATGTTGAATAATTATACTGAGTTAGACAGTACCACCTATGCGCTTAGAAACACCTGTATAAAGCGCCCTATAAATGTAATTATTAATGTTATTATAATGATAAGAAATATAATGTTTGTTATTTTTAAGATAAATGCATTCAGTTGTTACTCTTCAATGAAATGAACGTACGCCTAATACGTTTTTCTTTTGTTATAAATTATGCAAAGTAAGTCATTTTAAAGCCATTTTCCTTGTTCAGGTAATCATCATGGCAACAGATATGGGACAACCCCCTCTAAGTTCGTCGAGAACTGTAACCGTCTATATTGGCATTGTTGATGTGACCGAGCCCTATTTTCTGCCTAGTGATAGAAACCAGACGTAAGTATAGTTCTGATGCTAACAAAAAAGATCCGTAATTTTGATTAGTCCATAGTTTATATTATCAAGTTTAGGGGGCATCCCTTTCCACTTTTTCCATTGGTATAATTTTTTAATTCTTTTAATTGTTACCCTTTTCATGTTCTTGAAATTTTCTACATCTCTTCGGAGCCTACGCCAACAATCCAAAACTGTCAATTTAACATAGTCCTCGACCATAGTTATTATTATTGTCATCTTAAATATTCCTGATATTTACTTTTTGTATGTTCTATTCCGCGAATCACTAACTACAAGCAAACAATTTAAATAATGTATTCAATGTACATTGTGTGCTTGAAATACCTTTGCATTATCAGAATTGTTTTAAACATTGGTACTTGTAAGAAAACTAAATGTGATATGTGAAATTATGATAATCACCAGATGCTGAGATTTTCTTCTTTCTTTCTTTCTTTCTTTCTATGTTCTAATTATTTTTTCTTCCTCTCCTCCTTCCTCTTCTTCTTCTCTTCCTCTTCCTGTAACCCTTCCTTCCCACTATGCCCTCGAATAGTATACAAATATACACTGCCTTGAGAGGTTCTGGTTAAACTATGCGCAGGAGGTGACTCCAATAGTACTATTTGCTGAGGGGCGCAGCCCCGAAGCAAATGGTACTTTTGGAGTCACCGAGGCCCATAGTTTAACCAGTACCTCGAATAGAAGGCATGGTATATTTGTTTTATATCCTGCATCAAAAATTTATTTAAAAAAAAAAAAAAAAAAAAAAAAAAAAAAACATTTTGGGAAAAAATATTTTAAAATTTCAAAAATGTCAATTTTTATCTAAAAGATTTAAAATATTTTTTTTTCATTTTCATTTTCATTTTCAAATTGATTCAATTAAAAAAAAAAATTCACATTTTATTTTCAACTCCCCCAAATAGTAAACCAAAAAAGTACTCTCATATAGTACTTTCTAAAAAATAGGTCAAATATTTCTGGTCATGTGACGAGCTCTCAACCAATCAAAAGCCAACAAATTTTTGATGCAGGATATAATTTATTCTATTCTCTTGTTTCATGTGAAGTTACTGAGTTTTCCCACACCTCGACCAACTAGTGCCCCCCCCCCCCCCGATGTGGTTTACTGAACCTAAATTTCTTTTCACCACGTATCAACCCCACAATTATAAATCAGAATATGCAGTGATGTAGCTACATGAGGCAACGGGTGCACGCCCCCCCTCCCCATCTACTAGTGGGGTAAACAAAAAGGGAAAGAGTTAAAGGTATTACAAAGTTTTGGTATGGGGTCATGAATTTGGTTCAAATTGACATATTGGAAGCATATGCGTTGCTACAATATACACTGATCGTTGTCGCGGTTTAAATCGAGTCTAAAGTTATGAAATTATAATAATAAACTCGTTATGATGTATAGCTCCCTCTCAAGGTCAAGATATTAATTTAGCTATGAAACAATGTTTCTTGACTAAAATCGACCGATTAGCTATTCCCGTTTGGAAAATATATATCCCAACTACATATTCTGAGATTTTCATGGTCGCAGCTACCATTGTACGGCCATATAGGCGCTATTTGAAATTTATCAAAATTTACCGGAGCACCGGTAAATTTTTATATTCAATTTTTCTCGAAAACAGAAGTGTTTTAGGGCTAATTTTTTTAGTGCTTATAATACATCCACAGGGGCATCCAAATATATCAACATTGTAAAGATTCACTATCCACCCAATTTTCAAATTTCCCAAAACTTTGTATTACCTTTAAGGAGAAAGCAGAAGGGGAAGTACCAAAAAAAAAGACGTGTGGACCATCCTCACACCCTCCCTCCCGTTTCTCCCTCCCTCCTTCTAAAATAGCCTTGTAAATTCGCAATTCATTTTTCGAGGAGATTCAATGCCCTCACCATCAAAAAAGAATTGGCCCATGCAGTGCCACATCATGATAAGGATGCAGGGTACGCCACAGAAAATAAATATGCACTCCCTTTTGCAATTATAAATGTTTTGGGGTTTTTGTTTTGGTTATTTTATACAGATTTGAGAGAAAAGAGAACCAGGACGACTGTTTGAATATTTCCTATCCCCTGATATGCAATGAAACCACCTATTTGGAAGTGTATTATGAGCACGTGGTTAAACCCGAATCAGGTGAGATTGTTTGTTTGTTTGTTAGTTTGTTCATTTGTTTGTTTGTTTCTGCCTACCAACGAAAAGTTCGCGATTATCCTGATACTAATCAAGGTGCACGATTAGTCATATGTAAATTTAAAGGTCCGTGAAGTTAGTCGTCCGGGATGCGAAATTATTATTCCTACGAACTGTTCGTAGGAAAAATAATTTCGCGGGACGGTATGTTTCTCTGTGTTGATTCCTTTTATGTGATTATATTTTTCGTCATTTATGCTTGTACAGCGCATAGAGAAACTTTTGTTTAGTATGCGCTTTATGAATATGTATTATTATTATTATTATATTACACAATGATAATTAAGGGTTAGTTGTCTGGGGAACAAATGTCCGGGGTTAGACGAGGGTTAGTTGTCCGGACGAAGATGGGTATTCAAATTCAAATTCATTTATTTCACATCTTTTAAAAAATACAATGTACGCAGAAATAAACATTATTTAAAAGAAAAAGGTTGTACAAGAAATAGACAAAATTAATGATACAAAATGATAACAGATGCGTACATTGCGATAAAGTAGATGTGAGGGAGTAGCAAAAGCCATTGATTCTCCCGTATTAACATATGACAAAATATTTGTGGTATCATAATCATGAGAAATTTAGAATTGAATATTATGATTTTATTTGTGATATCATTTTTGTTGTTAGTTTTACTATCTTTATTTCCTAACATCAGTATCTATATTGTCATTGTTTGGATATCATATGACACTAGATTTCGTTGATGAGAGTCGACTGATCCAGGGACTACTCCATGTGAGAGGGAGAGGGGGTCACATCCCGGCCAAAATCTGGTTAACATTTCACACCCCCCCCCCCCCCCACCCCCTGGCAAACTATAAGAATTATTTGTATTTTGAGTGATCTTGTTAAATCAAAATTGTGTCAACATCTCCTCCTCCTCCTCCTCCTCCTCCTTCTTCAACGACAAAACACCGTTATTTTTCCATTTTCTTCCTCACAGGGACAGATCTCTTTAGTATCAACGAGACGGACAATGCACTGTCCTTGTGTTGGAAGGAATTAGACCGCGAAGTTAGTTCCTCATATACCGTAACGCTCACGGCTTCTTATGTGAACTCGAGCATGTGTAACTCGATCAACGTCTCTACCAGCGACCCGACCAGGAAACGGAGGAATGTCCAAGGTAAACTGGCAGACAACCCATCATGAATTATTAAATAAAGGAATGAATAGGTAGAGAAATAAATAAATAATTAATAACTATATGAATAAACAAGTAAACTAAGTGATAGATAAATAGATAAATAAATTAAGGCATAATATACAAATAAAACGATGAATATAAATGCATAAATAATTTAAAAAGAAGAAATATAAAGATTGGAAAAAGGAGGTGAAAACTAAAACCAAAAGGAATAGACGATGTAAGAGTAAAATAGGTGCAATCAAAGAAAATGTAAAAAGATAATGATGATTCAAAAATATTGAAGAAAAGAAGAAAAATGTATATCATTAAAGCCCACCACACACCATCCGACCTGGCTTAATTCGATCCTATTTTGGGATAAACAGCAAGCGCATTTGATATAAACAATTCAACTTGTAAAAATCTTAGTGAACGGGGATCTGAATGGTCATGATTCATTTTATCTAAATTTCAAGGAATTTTCAAGTTTCCTTGAGAAGAAAAAAGCTAATCCGGCTCAGATCGTAATGACTTAATACCATGAGTGCATTTATCTACAATTTGAAGCCGATTCGGCTTTTATTCTGACTAGAAGGGTTAAATGCAATAAATGCAGATTGTTAGAATTCTTATCATTATTTAGAACCTAAATCGGGAAGATGAAGTTTATTATCATTTCCTATCAAATGTAATTGCCATATTTTCGAAAATCGGATCGCAGCGGGAGGAGAGTATACTGTGCGGTGGGCTTAAAGACAGGGACGATATAACAACAAAAAGACGAACAAAATCACAATCGAGAAAAACATAAACAGAAAAACCAGAAAGTGCTCAGAGATTACGACCAAAAACAAACATAAACCTTGCAATACATCCCTTGTTTAATGTAAAATCAAGAAGAGGTATTACCGTCCCACAAGGTGAGGAGGTAGGGCCCACTCCTACTTTTTTCTCTGGTTGTCACTCACTCGCCCACGTGTGCAATATCACAACGCAATCGATGAGATGTGCAGTTTTTGCTTTTGTATATTCATCAAACTTGATATCAATAAAGTATCCCATGACAAGGTTGCTGAAAGCCAGTCAAATGCAGAGATTTATAAAAAAAAAGACTATATCATTATTTTACCTTGTTATATACAGTGGCGGATCCAGGGGGGGGGGGGGCCGGGGGACCCGACGGACCCCCCCCCCCCCCTTGAGAAAAAAAATCATGTAAAATCACGTGATTTTTACCTTTTTTTGGGGGGGTGCAAATTAAAAAAAATCGAGGACCAAAAAAAAAATTGTGCTCACTACCCCCCCCCCCCCCCCCCCCCCCCCCCCCCCCCCCCCCCCCCACTGAGGCGACTTTTCGGCCGGCGCGATTTTCAAAGTTTCGGGAGCAAAAACGAAAAAAAGTTGGGCTCCCTCCCCTAAGAAATCCTGGATCCGCGCCTGGTTATATATACCAAGTTCTATAAAACAGAGCTATGGCATGCTTCCAGGCACAGTGCTTTCCGATGCTGCTAAAGAACTTGTGTCGTATTTTCCTACTCTCTCATTAAAATCATGTAATAATCTAGTATAGATTAAAAAGGCTGACCCAACATCGTTGTTGTGTTTTCAGGTACTACTACTAGGTTGAGTATTCCAGACACGATAAAATTCAAATTCATTGACGAACCCCCCACTGTCACGTGACCAAACAATCCACAAAAATCCTTCGACGTAGTCATTTTATCTATAGCCTAAACTCATTGAATGTATAGATTATCTCTATCAATAATCTTTCTTTCTTTTTGTCCTTCTTTTTTCTCTCAGAAGTGGGAACCAACACTATCATCCTTACCATAATAGTAACGGACGAGAACGACAGCCCACCCTCTTTTCAGTTTCCAAGCAACACCATTGGTACCGCCTACTATCTGGCCGCGATTGATAGTACGCAGTTTGGAA